GCAATTTCCAATGTAGCCACCGTTGCTAGTTTTCAACATGAGAGGCTGCTAGATCAAAGGTTTAACCTGGCATTCCATTTATTTGAGTGATGGCAGACAGGCATCCTTTGCTTTGCTGATTTTTACCTGCAATGTTCAGCCACAGTGGCACATTTGATGTATTCAGAGGCATGCATTTTAACTTTTCATGGAGTGTCAATGAGATGCCTCTTGGTCTGAACTAAAACAATGGCATCCTAGAATGTAACTCTGGAGTTCAAACACTTGGGAGGACGGGGTTGTTGGGAGACATGTGCAAAAAGGACGCCAGTGTGATTGTGGAAAAGATTCCACAAAAGAAGGAAGTTTGAAAGCCATTTGTTTATACATTGGTACCTCTGGTTACGTACTTAATTTGTTCCGGAGGTCCGTTCTTAACCTGAAACTGTTCTTAACCTGAGACACCACTTTAGCTAATGGGGCCTCCTGCTGCGCCGCCGCGCGATTTCTGTTCTCATCCTGAAGCAAAGTTCTTAACCCAAGGTATTATTTCTGGGTTAACGGAGTCTGTAACCTGAAGCGTATATAACCCAAGATACCACTGTATTATCAAAACATACTTCATTTAGTTTGTTTGAAATGCATCCCCTGCACAGGATTTTTAAAATGCCCAGAACATTGAGAAGCAACTTCCTCTTTAGGAACTATTTTTGTTTCTTCCTAAATGAAGATCGAGGGTAGCTACAGAAGATTGTGGGCATTCTAAAACACTTCCATGAGCATATCTGGATATATTGGAAGAGGCTTAAATTAGAAAACGCTGCCTAGAAGTACCTTGAGTGCTAGGCAGACTGAACTGGAGCTGCTCTGTTCTAGTCCAAGGGGTGTTGAATATTTGGCCCTCCATGTATTGCTTGACTACAACTCCCACTATCCTTGGTCATCGGCCGTGCTTGCTGTTGCTGATGGGAGTTGTAGTTCTGCAACATCTTGCGGGTAAAAGATTCCCCACCATGTACTAGTTCAAAGAGGCTGGCAGGACCAGTGTAGATTCACTGAAGGTACAGAATCGCCAAACCCATGGTATTTGATGCCTCTTGTACCCCACTCCTGACATCGGCCCTTATTTGGAGCTACCGTTACTGAGGGAAAGTAGCGCCAGATGGAACAAGACCAACAAAGCAGCAGCCAAGACATAAAAATGAATTCAAACCAGGACCTTAAGGCTAAAAGAAGCAGAAATTTCAAATGTTATATTTATTCAGTTAAAAACTGACACTTGGTAATGGTCACATGAACACTAGGGAACCATATCTACATTTTCCTGAAGTTAGATCATGAAAATTGCACAGGTTGTTCTACATATACAAATCTAATGCCATTTTTTTAATGCAAAACCAAGACAATGTGAAATCAACACTGAAAAGTATCCAATTAGACAATTTTAAAAATAAATACTCCTTTTAAGAATAAAAAACACTTTCAAAGCAGCTGTATCTTTAAGAACATCCCTCCCCCCTCCCAAAGTCTTCCCTCGATTTTGATTGTCTACTAGTGCAGCACCTCTCGGTCAGAGCTGGGATCTGTAGATCAGGCAACACAGTATTTTGTTCATACACAGTGTTTTGTTTTGCTTGTGTGTGTTACTGGTAGATACAATATCTTTAAGCAATATAGCCTATCATGCTGCTGGCAACACCCATGCAGATGAAAAAGCATGAAGCATAGCAACACTGACTGTAAAGTACTTGTTTATTAAAAGACAGAGGAATGTAGTGTTAAAAAAATATATATTGACAAATAAACTACCCAGTTTCATAAACAACCAAATTAAATTTTAAAAAAATCTTATTTCGACACTTGCCTCATTTATTTATGAGCCAATCAACATTCATTTTCAGACATCTCTATATACTTCGGTTCATTAAAAAATGTCTCCAACGCTTTTTACTGGTAAGGGGGAGAAAGGAAAGAAAAATAAAAACTTTTCCTCCCTTTGAAATCCAAGCTGCTCCTGCCAAGCCGCTCTTCCCACCACATACAATGTTTCAGCAAGAAATTTCCAATGGAGACGATTTATGCGTTTGACACACATGCAGACAGCACATGACACCATAACGTTAAAAAAATAAAACCCACACACAAAAAAACCTGTTCTCTCTAAAAATACAAACTATTCTATAATTGTGACTGAAGCAGTCTACTGAAGGCCACATCTGTAAACCCTCTACACATTTTAATCCTAAGGACCACTTAGAATCATTTTAAAGGCTCTAACAAGCCTCCTGTTAATATCTCTCCGACAATTGTGCAACATTATTATTTTTTTAAAAAACAGCTCTTCAAAGAGCTTAAGTGTGTAGAGTTATCCGTTTCCCACAAAACCATCCAGTATCAGATGCCTGCATAAGCTTGTGTTCAGAGTCTCAAAGGATCCCCATATTGAGAAACATTTTCCAGCAATGCCTCTTTTTGACAATAGTCTACATTCCGATTCCTTTGGACACCCCCCCACCCCATTGTGAACAGTTCCATTGCCTAAAAATAATAAACTGTATTCCGAATGAGGCCCCCCACCCCCCACCCCAATAAAGTGCTTTCATCTGCACACATCTTTCTACCCTAATTCAATAGGATACTCAAGTATGAAACAAGGGCGACCCACCTTGGAGAGGATAAGAGCATGGCACTTCAGAGAAAACAAACAGATTTGACTTGCCGGTCTTTCAAGGTCCAACAACATATAAACACACTTCGGGGCTGCTCTCTTGGCCAGAACAGTGCAAAGGCCAGTGACAACATTCCTCCCCTTGCTCAAAACCGTTGTTACCCTTCCTATTGGGAACCCCCAGGGGCTTCCTGATCATATATGGCCTTAAGCATCTAACTGAATTAGGATGACCAACAGCTTTGTACTTGTTAATCTGGTTGTTGGGTCATTTTTGTTGTCAGTTGGCAGCAGGCAAGCAGCCTGCAGAAGTTTTGTGATACACTGGAGCCCCAGCCCCAGCCAGTAAACTTCTAGGTAAAAGTAATGGAAGGCATATGGAGAGCTCTGACTATAATCTTTTAATATGTGTACAAATATAGTATATATATTAAATATAATATAAAAATATTTATACAATTCCCTCTAGAGACCCATTTTTAAATCGTCTTCCCTCGCCCCCTCCCCCAATGTAAGCAACCCTAAACTGCATTTTCTCTTTTTCAACAGCACTCTGTCATACTTAAGTGCCGGTTACGGTGTGGTTGTGTTAGCGCTATTTCATTAGAACATTCACTTACCAGTCCCCATGCCCACCCACCCTTTCTTCCCAAACAGAGACATTTGGCCACATTGAATTCAAGATGGCAAAGCACTCAGTCCGACAGCAACTACTGGGCTAAGACCAGCCATGAAAAAGCAGCATTAGCACAAGCCATCTCCCCGTTATTTACCGTATTTTTCGCTCTATAAGACGCACCAGACCACAAGACGCACCTAGTTTTTGGAGGAGGAAAACAAGAAAAAAAATATATTCTGAATCTCAGAAGCCAGAACAGCAAGAGGGATCGCCGTGCAGTGAAAGCAGCAATCCCTCTTGCTGTTCTGGCTTCTGGGATAGCTTCGCAGCCTGCATTCACTCCATAAGACGCACACACATTTCCCCTTACTTTATAGGAGGGGGAAAGTGAATCTTATAGAGCAAAAAATACGGTAAGTGGGAAATGACATCGAACATTTCTGAGTAACCAGCAACACCAGAGAAAAAGCATCACGGCTGAAAGAAATCCTTCCCCTCAAGGTTTTTGTTTCTGGCCTCTTTCAGTTAAGACTGCCCAAGGTGTGGTCGTTAAGTCCTGTTTCTTAAAACTTTAGCCATCGTTTTCTAGTTTCTCGCCGTTTCTCCGCTATCTAACTTTCACAGCAACCTCCTGGAAGTCTCATTACAGAAACCTCACGTCTACCACGAGCGGCAATTCCCCCCAAGGAACAGTCAAAAGGAGGTTGGTATCAAATAAAAAAGTCCAGTGATTATGCTCTGCACTCCCAGTAACTCCATATACAAAAGCCTTGCTGTCCTGTCCTGTGAGCACAATGAAAGCTCCCCTGATTTTCTCATTCAGTGCTATTATTGTTGTTTCTGTTGTAAATAGCTTAAAGCCCAAGAGGATGCCTATTCACTAAAACAATGCCATTAAAGCATGGACCTTTGATCAACACAGCCTAATTTGGAATTACAAGCAGCATTGGTATGGCAAGACAAAAGCTATCTGCAATTAAGTTAATGCGACTACTTTCCCACAATGTGCATTTCTTTGAGACTAGTTTAGGGAATGCCATAAAGTCCCTTTAAAGAATATAGCTAGGAGATTTCCTAGACAAGTGACCTACTGGTTTCCAGTTGCTGCCAAGAGGGAACAGAAACTAGTCCAATTCTTTGGTTCTTTATTTCTTAAAACTTTGACTCCTGTTATTATGGTTCTACTGCTAGACTATTGATTGTGGTGTGTCACGGGAGGATCATGCAAGACTATGGCAATGAAAACGACTCTTTAAGAGTTAGTCTCAAAGATAAAATTCTGCTATCATTTGCTACTATGGTGTTGGCTTTGCTAACCCAGCATTACATTCTTAGCATCTCGCCATACTTTGGTTACATTAATAAAGCTCCTCTATAATACTCCATCTTTCTTGACTCTGATATTCCTTCATTACAATCAGATTCTTCTTCTTTGAACTAACCAATCTATCTTTGTATTAAAACATATTTTGCTCTGCAGATGTGGATTTTAAATCTAGTACCATAAAATCTACTCAGTGTTTACTTTTAAAACTGTACAGAATTTCAGTTGAATCTTTTTATTAACTTTATTAAGTGAACTTGCCATCTGAAGTCTTAGTGCATCAATATCCCTTTTGGAAGCTGTGGCCCTCATGATCTTTAATCTATTTTCCCATTAAATTTCAATAAATTTGAATTTGAGCCACCTTACAAAGTGATTATACTTGATTCCTATGCAATTCTGTTTTGCTATTATTTAAAAGAACTTAATTTCTTGGTAAACGAATACTTCAAAAGTAAGTCATTACATGATGTATGGTTAAAAAGGGGTGTGCCAAAAATTCAGAACTTCATACCCCAATTTGTATTATTCTCTCTCTCTCTATATATATATACAAATACAGTGGAGAAACAGCTATGAAGGATGCTTTGTTAACCATGTACTAAGACTTCAAAAATGGTCACAAATTCCATATAATGTAATTAGAGATGTTTAACACTATCACCTGAATCAAAATCAAGGCACTATGGGGTTTTTTTGTTTTTGTTTTTTCAAATGACCCTGAATCATTTCTGATTAAATGAAGGTCAAAATGTTCAAAGAAGAATAAAAAGATTCCAACAAATTCTGAGAAGTTGTATTTCTCACCACAGAGGTTAAAAAGTGCCTACAATTATTAAATTCAAATATATTTTTCTGTGCAAATTACTCCTATATTTGAGACATTCTTGAAAATTACTTTCATATTTTTAAACCTTATTTTTTTTTACATAAATATTTCCAACTATGTATTATATCAAAAGATAGCTTTGGGGGAGTAAAATTCCAAACCATCCACAATAGAGCAGTGCAAATTCCTATTTTTTTCCCAAAGAAAAAAATTTGAGTATTTATGAAATGACAAATGATATATATGAATCTTAATGCCTTGAACCCCCCCCCACAAGTTCAAAGAGTTTCATCAATAATTTAACTGCAAAACTTCCACAAACCAGCACACTATATTACCTCATTGAACTAACTCCGACAATCACACATAAAGCACAAACAGAAGACTTGTGCCCACAATACAGGTGAGAATAAATGATGGAGCATGATGTAGAAGACAAACAAGTATAAACGGATGAAAATAGTAATCTGAGCATTGTGTGAAAATGTAGGGGGGAAACATATTCAAAACAGTTTCATGCATCATATAAAATATTCTGCTCTCTCACCTTTTATCCAGACATATACATAGTATTTTACAGTATCTGTACAATGAAGACTGATTCCACACAATATTTTGAAAATATTTGCTGTCCCAAAATGTGAAAAAATTAACTTCCTTTTGGAGCATAATTGCAGGCAAACAATTTTTTTAAAAAAACAAAACCCAACTGCTGTCATGACAGCATGTCCATTGTAACACTTAATCTGAGAAAATTGCTAAAAACATCAAGATATTTAAGTGCCCTATTTAGTCCACTGAACATTTTGAGACTTGATCTGGACAAGTTAACTGATGGCAGTGCATGCCTTTGAAGGAAAAACAAAACACAGAAACCAGAGTAACTAGGTTCCTCTCAAAGGTAGCCATGTCCCTGTCCCAGTCATCTTTTTTGCAGATTTATACCTAATATACCTCCAACAGCAGTTTGCTTTGTTTTCCTCAGCACACACATTCCAAGCGGTTAGAAGAATATTCAATACTGCACTTCACAAAGTCTGTAGGCTTCTTTCTCTAACACCAGGGCATTGCTCCTGGAAGCAAGAGCCTCCATGCTACCGCGGCTGAATTTTGGAAACCTCTGTCATGCTGTCAGTTCTGTGTCGTGAAATTTGTTGCTGTTGGTGCTGCTGCTGCTGCTGCTGTTGCGACTGATGCTGCTGGTGGTGTGACTGGGTAAAAGTGCTTTGTTGTAGTGGAAAAGCAGCAGAGAGAATAAGCTGAGTTGACTGATTTCCATGAAGCAACCTGGAGGTCTAAATACACAAATAAGAGAGTTAAGGCACCTCTTTCATGAGAGTAACTGGTATACAGTCGTACCTCAGAAGTCAAAAATCTGTTCCAGAAGTCTGTTCGACTTCCAAAATGTTCAGAAACCAAGGAGTGGCTTCCTGCAGCCAATCAGAAGTTGCGGAACCCATGTTGGATGTTTGGGTTCCAAAAGAACATTTGCAAACCGGAACACTCACTTCCGGGTTTGCGGCATTCGGGAGCCAAAATGTTCGAGAACTAAGCTGTTCAAAAACCAAGGTACGACAGTACTGTGTTATCTGACAGGGGTCTTTACTGTTCTTATGATGGCACTCCTCTGTCCACAGAGAAAAAGAACGGTGAACATATAAGCAGTTTGGTCCTATTTCCCACTTATTCCCTCTCAACTTCCTTGATTTCCATCGCTCAATACAGACTGCTTTTAACACACATAAACGCACATACACAAATTTAAAGACAGGCAGACAGAAAAATAATCTGGTTTATTGTTTTGTGCAAATGTGGTCATTGGCTCCCCACTCCAGACCATGTCGTAAACTGGTTTTAAAATCTCGCCTTCCTCAGCTGAAAAACAATACTATAGTTTTTTCACTAAAACATTATTTGTGCCTTTTCTTTTGGATTCCTATCCCATAGACAGACAGACAGACAGAAAGACAGACAGACAGACAGAAAGACAGACAGACAAACTTCTCCTTGGCTCTTGCCAACCAAGACCATCTGGTATGCAGACATAAAGTTCTCTTGTATACCTGGCACAAGCTATGAAGTAAATATAGCCTTCCAAACAAACAGCTCTTACCATAAATGATGCATAGGAAGTTTGAAGAAGGACTTTCAAAGGAGACATTTCCATTTGATTCCCTTTTTTGAAGCAAGCCATGTGGGAAAACTGTTTTGAGTACAAAGCACCTATTTCCTCTTCTCCCCTACCCTTACCTGAATTCAGGATGCCCCCTCTCCAGGTCTGGCTTAAAAACCCACATTTTCTAGAACAGAGGCTGGCATTTTTTACAATTAATATTTTACCTTCCTTGCACTGCTGCAGGGAATTATGTGTTTACCAAAAGCCAAACATGTATAGCATCAACTATCTACAGAAGAACACCTTTCAGTATAGGTTCATTAAGTTGCATTGTCCTATATGGCCAGCTCGCCGAACGTATGAATGAACATGTGGCTTTACCTGCAAGAACTGTTGTGGGTGCTGGGTCAGCGGAGTTTGAGCAGGTTGCTGAACTGCATTGAGCTGCTGCTGCTGTTGCTGTTGTTGTTGTTGATGCTGCTGTTGCTGCTGCTGCTGCTGCTGCTGTTGTTGCTGTTGTTGCTGCTGCTGCTGCTGCTGTTGTTGCTGCTGCTGCTGTTGTTGCTGCTGCTCCTGCTGCTGCTGTGTTATTGACAACGTCTGTGGCTGCTGCTGTTGTGCAGCAAAAGTGGGATAAGCAGTCACCACCTGTCCCATAAACATAGTACTTGGTACCATAACTGCTCCGCAAGCTACAGGGGCAGTGACTAGCTTTGTTACAAGCTGCTGTCCTTGGGGAAATCTGTGAAAGAAAAGAAAGATCTGTTGTCTGTCTCAGGTAGTCTTAACCAAGACCCCACAAATTAGCTTGATGGGTGCTTTCTGTACTTTCAATCTCATTTAAGACCTAACAGCAACCCAAGAGTCCCTCTAGTCCAGCATCCTCTCTCCATCAGTGCCCAGACTAATTTTATTTGCTTAACAGCTTCAAGTGTGGAGTAGCCTGAAGGCAGGCATGGCTGGCTGGAACACTGAAGAGGAGCATTCTACACAGCAGCATTTTGTAGCAAGCCTCACTTGTCTCTCTTAACACTTACCTGATTTGTCTGTCTTGGGTAAATGTGGTAATAGCAGCATTCTGGTTATTACTTGGTGGCAAATTAGAAGGGATCTGGACCATGTTCCCTGTAGCCGGCTGGGAAATCACCATAGTGTTATACAAGGGGGCTGACAGTGTGCTCTGAGATGGCGTAGAAAGAGAAGTCTGCTGACTGTGCCCACTGAGAATATTTTGTTGATTATGCTGCACAAAGAAAATAGGTTGTCAATGTGATTATTTAGCATGACGGAACAGAATTAAGGCAACCCCACCAAACTGCAAGAAACTACAGATTGAGCAGCCTGTTGTTGTTGTTTTTAATGGTTCTGCTAATTGTATGTCATCTATTTTGGGGGGCATTTTGTAGTGGTGCGTTATCTATATTATATTAGCTCTCTAGAAAACACAAGCCTTGTATTTGAAATCACTGACCATAAATGAGCTGTGGCCTGTGAAGGTGGAGGGGTCAGAAAAAGGTGGAATCACACTCTGCTCAGATATCTCCTTACCTTCCATTGAGACAACCAAAAGAAGATTTTATTAAGGAGTAAGGGGTCACCATAAGAATTCTTTCTGGGAAAGAGGGTTTGAGTTTGTTCAAAGGATGCAATGAGAGAACTAGAAATCATCCAATCTCTCCCCTCAGGCTGTAATGATTCGCCATCCTGACTGGAAACTAAAGGTGCCAATGTTAAAGTGGGAGACGTTTTCCTTTTTTTAAATGGAGAATATGTTTTTAAAAATAATTTAACGATATTCTAGGTAGTTTGAAATTTCACAAAAGACACTTCTTACGGTATGTAATGACTGAATGGCCTTCCTTTCAATGCAGTAATTGCAATGCATGGGGTATTTTGAAATCATCCCGTTTGTCTTCTTTTTAAAGCAGGCATGCCAAACCCTTTTCAGCCCAAGGGCGGCACTGGTCGTGCCAGTAGATGCCAGTGGTGGGTGTGGTCGAAGTGTGTGCCCGTGCCACCCAACACCCACTGTCTCTTAAACACAGGCAGGCAGCCAATCAGGTGCGCGTACACACACAGGAAGTCAAATGGGTAGACATACACTCACACAGATGTGCATGCACAGACAAGACAAAGGAATCTTAAATGCATGGTTTGAAGTGAAAAAGATAGCCCACAATTATCAAAATCAGGATGTGAGCTGTCAGTTACGTGGTTCGCTTTGTTTCGGCCTAATTATTATGCTAGGGAAGCTTACCATTGACAAAGCTGATATGGAATTTACAACTGAACAAACTTTAGACAAGGAACAGTTCCAATTAGAATTGTTTAAAGGCCATGATTAATAGAGTGGATGGTTAAAATAATTAATGCTTCAGCCATTTCTGAAAAATCAGGTCTACCGATATTTTGGTTGTGGCTATTGTTACAGCTGAAATATCTTCCTGAATTGCTGTCTATAGAGGTAGAAACAGCCTCCCAAAAAGAGAAAAAATAGGGGTTGGGGAGCGACACCTCTTCCTCCTGATGCAACCTATTTTTACACCCACTAGATGGCACTATGTGCAACAAAAGGAAATGCTGACTTGTCTATTAATCCTTGCACCATGGCAACAGCTCCGCAAATTCTGTTTGCCCTTGAACATTCATTTCCTTCCTATCTTCCTTTGTGCAATGACAAATTGTTCACTTCTCAATGGCCAAAAAATTGATCCACCAATAATCTGAATTCTCTTGCTTCCTGGATTGTCACAGTCTAGCTTCCTAGTCCAGTCACGTCTTGCTTTTTTCCTATATTAAACAAAGTGTGGGACAGGTGGTTTTTTTTTGCAACAACCCACTCAATCCACCAATATACTTCCTAAAGTTGGCTTTGACATATGAGTCACACTTTCCTGACTCTAAGCCCTTCCCTACCCTCAAAGGCTAGGCTAGTAGAAGTGAGTGCTTGAAGAATAAATAACATCTACTAAAGGAGCACTCTCTCATGGCAACATAAAGACACAAAGGCTGCATTTAAGAAACAATGGCACATAACTAAATATTATCTTCAAGTGTGGCATTACCTGTTGGGTAGTACTTTGCAAAGGCTGTTGCTGTATCATGTGTTGAGCACCAATATGCCCAGTGTTCATGCCACCTTGGATTTGATTAGTTTGAACAACTTGACCTTGCATATTTATTGGTGTAATCTGCTGAATATTTGATGGGTTTCCAGGAGTCAGCTGAACAGAACCAAAGTTTAATCCAGGAGTTGACTGCTGCAAGAACATCTTTCAGAAGAAAAAGAATACATGCCAGTGCTTAAAATACTAGTGAGCATTCAGAACACATAAATCATTGTTTGTTTAAAGGTCAATGAATTCCCTATCTGAGAGGTGACAATTATATACACTATCATTTTGTCTAATAATAGTGTTCTAATGGGCATATGAGGCTTAGACTGAACTCTATACTCACTTACCTGGGAGTAATAAAATTGAATTCAGCAAGTCTTATTTCTGAGTAAGCATGCATAAGATTATACTGTTAATCTGGTAAAGGGGGAAACCCTACCTACAACTAAACTACTGTAACCTGTATTTGTATTTTATTTTACTAGTGACAGAACTTGCAGTTATATCACATGGCCCTTATTAGTTAATGATATGAACATCTAGGATTCCAGTGAAATGGTTGATCAAATTAAGTTTTATAACATTAAAGATATGCTTTTTCAATAAATATTTTATCTATAGAACCAGCTAATCAAAATATACCCATTGTATTTTCTTAATGTTGTAAGCTCCTTTAAGAACTTCAGATGAAATGCAAAGTACAAATCTCCTGAATCAATAACTTAATAATGAAGTAATAATGGTATCTGAAGAAGAGTGCACACACACGAAAGCTTATACCAGAACAAACTTAGTTGGTCTACAAGGTGCTACTAGACAACTTTTTATTATAATGAAGGTGTCTTTTATCAAGAATTTTTTATTCCAGCATGCAAAACATCAGTTTTAATCTGTACATCACACATACAAATCACACACACACACACACACACACACACACAGAGAGAGAGAGAGATTTTAAGTGTAGAATCACTAGCTATGTCAGTATCTGATCAGCTTTAACCTACCTGAAGTCCTTGCCCATGGACCATTTGGAGTTGTTCCTGAATCTTACGCAGTTCTTCTTGTTGCCGATGAATGTTTGCTTCTATCATTCGTGTTCTTTGCTCCAATTGGTCCTTTAAGTGCTGCATAGCTCCTAACTGAGCAGAAAACTGAAGCATAGGCTACAAAGGAACATTGAAGAAAAACACAAGAAAGATTTGAATCAGTAGCAAACATACCATAGGAAAAGTAATTAACCACTACAAAAAATTCTATCAACCCTGTGAGTATGGAAGTAATTATCTGTATTTAGCTTAAAGTCATAAATTGACATTTCTGACAAAGAAGACTTTTTTTAAAAAAGTACTGAGGATGCTGACCAATTTAGAGAAATCTTAGACAAAGAGAAAACAGGACCTGCTGAACCAAAAGTCAGGCAATGGGACCTGTTAATAGCAGGGGACATTACTTCCAACACACCCAAATTCAAGAACTGAATTCTAGATCAAACAACGATCCATTAAAGGATCAAAATGTAATTACTTGCTTTAATACAAATTACTTGCTTTAATACACATTCAGATTGAATTAGTACCTGAGACATGCCTTGCTGAATCTGTAAAGATGCAGGCTGGGACATCATTGGCTGCGCTAAAGGTTGTCCAATAGATTGCGAATTTAAAGACTAGGATTTAAAAAGAAATATACATACCATAATTATCAAATCAAATATGTATTTTGGAGGCAGATAGAATGGCGGAGGAGGTTTTAAAATGACAAGCCCAAATGTAATCTTCCTTTCTTCCCTAACTACCTGAGAAGGAACGGGATAGCTAGAAAGAGTTTGGACCACCTTACATCACTTGCTGATTTTCATTTTTAAACTTTGATTTGCCCACATGAACATGCACACATATAAAAAGCCAAATGCAAGTGTTATACACCCCAAACAGGTAGACAAAGATTAACAATCTGCAGCAGAAGCCTCAGAGAGTTATTCTCTGTCCCAGTGTACCTTCCTCTTCTGTTTTTGTGGAACAAGTAGCCTTCATAAGCATTTCCAAAAGCATCCACTGAGCTTTATACAAAAGGCATGAAACACAGCAGTACTTTAAAAGGACACAAATTTTACAAACACATAGAGGACGTATCCAAAGCTGCAGCTCTGATGACACAAGAGAGTTCTGTGTATGCAGCAGACTTTACTCTTCCCCTTTAGAACCCTCTTGTACCCTTAAAATCAGTTCCAGAGGGATGGAGGACCTTCTGAAGCATATTTGTGGGGCACACAAGAATGAGAGGAAATGGGTGTTCTGTTGATACAGTGGAATGACACTGGTGCATTACTGAATACAATCCATAATACCTAACCTCTGAAGCAGATTTTGGGGTAAACTGGAGATGAAGGGGAAGACTGTTCTGCTCATGCAGGAGCATTACTGGATCCCACACTATTTGAAAGCTGATTTCTATTCAGATTCATAGCAAAACTCTCCATTATTTTTAAAAAGCCAGATGACACTTAATGAAAAGCTCTCAGTTGACTGCTTGAGCGTAGAACTGCGCACATGGTGGACACATTCAGGATAGTGACATTCTCAAGCAGTCAACTCAGAGCTTTAAAAAGGATTTTTCCAAACTAGGTGACTAACTGAAAGCATTTATTTATTTATTGTATTGTTTGTATTTTAAGCGGAAAAAATCTAATGTTCACAAGCCTTAACAGATAAATATGAGTTGCTATTTTCTAAAGAATTACCTGATTACCAAGCGATGCCCTCCTTTGTGCAGACTTTTCAAGAGTGGATAAATTTTGCCTTGGAGGAGTGCTAGTATCCATTGTCATCTTTGTTGGCGTTGCTGATGTCCCAGCAAATATAAAATTGAAGAGGGATACTTTTATTCATCATCACCATTCTGAGTTTGCCCAGATATACTTAGGCAAGTGAATAGTTCATCACAATAAAATGATAGCACTGCATATTCAAAACAGCCTTTATTCCAATTGGTTAGGTAAAAATTGAGATTTATTCCACGCCAGATTAACAACTCTCTCTGTAGAACTAATAATATCATCAGGCTACAATTATCATGAATAGCATTCATTTTAAAGTCACAAGGCCCCAAAGTCAATAACCTTCTATAGAATAGTTTTGATTTTGTGCACTCACAAGAAGGGTCTGAAACTGCAGTGTGAGAAGATTTCCTTGAACTCCTGGAGGCAGAAGAAGGTGTAGGGCTGTGATCAAATCTCTCCAAAGCTTCTTTGAGGCTTACTGTGCTTATATGATTCTCAGAACCAGAGTCTTGACTCTAAAACAATAAAAATGTTTTGGCTGGTGCATCACACACAAAATAATTAGCAATATAATTAGCAGAAACTAACTGTATCTCACCAAATATTCAAACATGGTGCTTTCACAATGAAAGCAAATTTCTTATACATGTGCTTCACCTTCCCTTAACTTATCCCTGCTCTGTTTGCCATCTTAACAGTCCGTCTTTCCATCTTACTTCTCCCTATGATCAATGTTTGCTTCTCTTTCACCACTCTGACAACCCAAAAGCAAAACAAAAAATCCAAACCAAACTGTGCAAGAGCAGTTTTGAACACCTTATCACTAGGTAATTTACATGAAAGAATGAATAACTCTGGGTGGGTGGATTATTAACACCTGCTGAGGTGCAGGCACTGCAAACCCTACAAGCCAATTTTTAAAGTATTATTTTTTTAAAGCTATAGCAATGAACAGAACCAATATAAGATGATGGTGGAAAACTTACTTTATCTGCAGCTATTTCTGGTAGAGACTCTTCAATACCAAGTTCACGCCGCCTTTCTGCTCGAACCTCTGCATAACTACCGATAAATAACCCAACATTTCAGGTGATTAGCATGTCCATTCATCTTAACAGAATGGTAGCAAACATTTTATATACATTATTTAAATGCGTTTGAAAAATAACATGGATGCATTAATGCATTAATATGCTTTGACGTGTGACTAACTCAGAAGACTCTGATGACTTCTTAGTCAGCTGGGAGAGGTACTAAAATATAGCTGAAAAATCTGTTGCAAAAAACCGTAATAAAAATTATGCAGAATTCTATTACCTTACTACTGTGTGTGTACATACGATGAACTCTGGTCTAGAATTCCACTGATGGTAAGTGATATAGTAATGAGTCTGCAACCAAATCCACTGTTGACCCTTTGTGAGGAATCTGTAATAGCAGGATTTCCCTTTTCCATATTGCATTACTAAAAACAATGTAAAAATAAGGTTCTGCTTCAGAAAATGCCACTTCCAGAATGTGCATTTAAACAGTTTGCATCATTTCTTTAAACCAACACAAAATTTTCTTCATTTGATTCTAATATCCCAAATACAAAAAAGAAAGAAAAAGAAAAATATTTTTAAAAGCTGTGGAAAATATTATACAAGAAAATGGAAAGAAACCCGAGAACTACTATGATTGCTTCCAGAATGGTAGCTCCTGATGTCACCAATCATTATTCTTATCTATTAGTTACATGCACAACTGAAATTGATTTTCCACACTTCAGATAGCGCAATGTTCCATCCACACTAGTGGGCAAAACCTAGCCTAGTAAACAGGGAAGCTATAATTCTGAGTGTGCAATTTATTATTATTAAGCAATTATTTAAATTGTGCTTAAGTGCTATTTTTGTTTAAGCACTATTTTGTGATTAAAAACTTTTTTAGAACATAAATTTACAAGTATTTTAGCACTAGTTAAAAGATTTTCAAATATAGATACAGTGGTGCCTTGGTTCTTGAACGTAATCCGTTCCGGAAGACCGTTCGATTTTCGAAATGTTCGAAAACCAAGGCGCAAAGTGCAGTCTGCAAATTGCATTGAGAAAATGGAAAAACACGCAGCGGAAGCTGTTCACCTTCTGAGGCGCGTTCAAAAACAGAAGCATTTACTTCCGGGTTTCAGCGTTCGGGTTCTGAAACGTTCGTCAACGAGATGTTCAGGAACAGAGCGTACCACTGTAACTAGTTTGTATATATCACCAAAAGTTACCAATTCTATATTAGTAAGGTTTACATAAAATTATGACATTTACTTACAGTGTTCATGACATTTTGCCAGGTTTTCTAGGTCATCAACATGATAATAATCATAGCCTGATGTCCCCAACACTTCAAATGGTAAATAACCTATTATTGGCGGTGCCCTGGATAATGACATAAGAGTCGTTATTTTATTTCTCAGAATAGGGGGGGGGAAATAGTCACAGTTTTTAAACAGAAAATTGTGCTTATAATTACATAAAAATGTATTCAGTAAAACGTAAAATTCATTTCTTGCTATAAACAGCCAATGAGGATTAGTGACCACTAACGGTAACAGAGTGCTACCGCTTAGTACTACATTGTAAGAAATGGCACCTGTGATCCAAGAAAAGGAACTTCCATTCTAAGCTATGTCTAGAGGTGAACTCTTCATTGGGTTCTTCAACAGTGCTCATTTCCTAAAAAATAAAAAAACGTAAGTCTCTCAGAACTGCTCTACTCTAATGTAAAAACTCTTTATGAAATCCAAACTTCCAAACATACATATAAATCGACGTGAATGTAACATGCAAAATATTTCTTATTTTGCTGTTTCACTGCTGCTTGGAAGAGGAGTAATTCAAGCAACTTGCCACTACAGACCAACCCGTACTATGCTTATTTTACCAGTGTGAGAATGGCAAGTTCAGCATTTTGTGCAAGGAAGCACCAGAGGAACCATCACCCTCAGAACTCCCCTACTTCTTTTTGACATCTGGGAAATGATACGGAAGGCAGTTGTGCTATTTCTTTTTACTAGCAATTCACATGGTATATAGCCTTCCTAAAAGAGGAAGTTCTTTGCAATGAAGCCTTCAGCAAATCTAAATTTGCACCACAGAAGGACACGTTTCAAAATTCCTGTAGGAAAGGCACTGAACGTCAGCTATGGCAATGTGCAGAACTTGATTGAGTCTTCCTAGTACTGCAGGTAGGTTGTTAACTAACAGCTCAAATCATCCTCTGGGGATGCATGCTTGAGCCTGATCCAACATATGTGCAGTACAGTTACAGAAGCTGGCTATAGACCTTGTTTTTAACAGCACAGGACCCAATCTAGGAGGCAATTCATACAAGAACACCTGCATCCTGGAGCAGATTGCCCTTCCTGGATTGGAGTATGGTTACTTAAATGATTGTTCATTAAACAATAAATGTTTTGATTAAGAAAAATACAAAAGAAAAGCAAATATCATAGATTTTGAAGAGATGACAATCTAAACATACCTTGATAAACTGAGGTGTAGCTAACCTGACTGTAGCTACAAAACAAACTCTGTCTTCATAGGAAGGCCTATGCGATCGCTGAATGGTTCCTTCATAACCATTATGCGCAGAGTTAGACACTAAGGACAGGAGGAAGAGAAGAAAATTACTACTATTTCTAAGAATGACTTATAAAATCAAACATACAATTAATGATCCTATGAAACAAAGTGTTTAAAAAAATCACCTGGGAGAAAAAAATTAAAACTACATTCTTAAAATATTTCATTTAATAACATAAATACTGCCTAAGAAAGTAAAAATCACTCAACCTGTTTCACTTATCTCAGAGTTTTTATATCCTGCCCTTCCTTCAGATCAAAGTGATTTTTTAAAAAAAAAAATCTACAGTCACACAGAAGCAAAGTTCTCAGACCCTGAACTTTAAGGGGAAGGGGCATAACACTGCACTTTGCTAAACAGAACAAAAACCCTTGAAATAGCAGCATATAAAATCAAAATACAATGAGGGACTACTAACAATAACTGGAAATAAAGTGAAAAGCACGAGTAATCAAATAGAATGAAAGCGCTAAAGATCTAAGTTGGACAACAGGAAAAAAGCAGGAAAGGGAAGGACACCTCTGAAGTCTAACAGCACTCTTTCTGATGTTTGCTGCACTGCAGAACAGAACTTGCAAAACAGCAAGAAACGACACAGAGAAAATGTATATTATATTATTCAGCAACATCCCTCCCCTCAAACACTGGGATTGAAGAGTGCTAACAAAATAATTCCTCTGATTAAAAACTGACAGTTCTGAACAAGCTTTCCCTCCATCCTGGTCTGAGAGTTTTCCTTAAAATACAGACATCAATTAGTCCCTCTCCTCCTCCCTGCTGTCTTCCTTATATGGTGAGCTTAGAGACAATAGTTTCGCTTTTTGCAGACACTTGTTTGCAGCTTTTTAAAGCATCTGAATCACTGAGGTGTCATTAGGCACTTGGGGAATTCTGCTTGACTTGGGTGTCACATGCAGATCACACTTTGCCCAAAGCAGCCAAGAATCTCTCCAAGGCTTGGGATTCAAGACTCACTAGAACAGGCATCCCCAAACTCAGTCCTCCAGCTGTTTTGGGACTACAATTCCCATCATCCCTAGCTAACAGGACCAGTGGTCAGGGATGATGGGAACTGTAGTCCCAAAACAGCTAGGCCGAGTTTGGGGGTGCCTGCACTGCAAGTTGCTACACTTCCCTAGTTTCTGTCAACAGACACACTGTAAATTTACACTATCCTCATTTAAATGTAATCCAGTGCCTGTTTCCTTAAAAAAAGAGGTCCATTATTTTTCCTATTTCTTGTAAAGTTTCACAAGTTAGCTGTAATCTAAAACACGTTTAAAAAAATATTGTAACTTACTGTTACTCAATGATTTGAAGTTTCCTATAAATTTTACATATTCATATGTAGGTGGCTCTTTGGGGTCTATTGTCCCTCGGAGCATATGGCAACAGAACTCTAGTTGGTTTTTTGCTAGAAGAACAAAACACACATAATGGAATATCAAAATGAACATCAAAACATTGCAAGCTGATATTCTTGAGTAAAATGTGCAAAACAATGGAAGAAGCTACCTTAAACATAGCCTTAACAATGTGCCATCTTACATTCCTTGCATGGGAGTAGTTCTTCAGTGCATCCAGCCTTTTCTTGCCCTGCTACCACAATATTTTTCAACTAGGTTTGAATCTAAGATCCTACACATTTAGAATATAATCTTTTACATGTCTACTCAGAAGTAAGGCAGATTGAGTTTGTTTGTTTATTTATTTATATCCACCCTCCCTCCCAAAGGAGCCTAAGTGGATTAATCCCAGTTAGGTATATATAGGGTTGCAGCCTTAAAATATGTATCTACCCTGTGCTGCCCCACTCCCCAAAAGTATTGTGAGCAATATACAGTGGTGCCCCGCAAGACGAACGCCTCGCAAGACGGAAAACCCGCTAGACGAAAGGGTTTTCCGTCGCGGAGGCGCTTCGCAAAACGAATTTCCCTATGGGCTTCCTTCGCAAGACGAAAGCCCATAGGGAAATCTCCGGGACAGCGGGGAAGCGCAGCGCCTCTTCCCCACTGTCCTCGGACCTCCTCCCGCCGCCAGGCTTCGGAAGGCTGCTCCGAAGCCTGGCGGGGGGGCGGAGAGGTTTTTTAAAAACCCCGGGACAGCGGGGCACTTCTCCGCTGTCCGGGGCGATTTTAAAATGTTGCCGGGCGGCAGCGCTGACGCCCGGCAGCATTTAAAAAAACCCGGGACAGCGGGTTTAAAATCGCCCCGGGCGGCGCGTTTCTCCGCTGTCCCGGAGGGCTTTTGAAGGCAGGCGGGGGGAGCAAAGACTTTCGGCCCCCGCCGGCCTTCAGAAGAGGTCCAGGACCTCTTCTGAAGGCGGGCGGGGGGCGAAAGTCTTTGTCCCCCCTGCCTGCCTTCCCGGGGGCTTTTAAATCGTCCTCCGCTGTCCCGGGGTCCTCCGCTGTCCCGGGGTTTTTTAAAATGCTGGGGGTGGAAAGAAAAGCCCTTCGTCCGTCCCCCAGCCTTCAGAAGAGGTCGGGGGACAGACTGTCCCCGGACCTGGTCTGAAGTCGGTTTCCCTAGGAACGCATTAATTGATTTTCAATGCATTCCTATGGGAAACCGTGCTTCGCAAGACGAAAAACTCGCAAGAAGAAAAAACTTGCGGAACGAATTAATTTCGTCTTGCGAGGCACCACTGTAAAGTAAAATTGTGGATAATGATCATCACACCATGGTTTAACAAACCATGAGTGACAAACATTTCAGAAAGTGAAGCAGGCTTCTGTCAACATCCCAACTGCAGACAGTCCACAGCCAAGTACTCCTTCGATTTTCAAAGCTCAGAGTTGACTGTGGCTCTCCAATATTGAATCAGTTACATTGAAGAAGTAAGTATCAGTAAGCCTGTGGGAACTGAAGATTTGCAGGTGTGCAAATAATCTTCAGAAAAACAACTCTAAGAGGGTGAGAGCCCCTCCCCCTCAAAAAACCCGAAGGGGGAACCAAGTGAGAGAGAGAATGGCAGAAGGCATGGGACAGTATCATAGATGAGGACATGGGTGGCCACTGGAACACTGACCACATGCATTCTACAATGCAGTGATCAGTTACAATTTACATTCATTTTATATATTGACAGAAATTTCTGCAGACATTTCTGAGATCATGGTTTTTCAGCAAGTGGTTCTTGTCCAGGTTTGTTAATTGTCTCACTTTAAATGTTGTCAGGATCCTATGCCCTTTTAAAATGTGGGGGGGGGGGTTGGGGGGGTTATTGGGTTGTTGTTTTTATTTTGATTATGTATTTTGTAGTTTGTATTTTGATTTAATTCTGTGAACCGCCCTGAGACCTCTGAGTATAGGGCGGTACATAAATTCAATAAATAATTATAACAATAATACTGCTAAAATGCAGCAGTTGTTGGCCACAGTTGAAACAATTCTTGGTTCCTTACCTCCTGCAAATATAAATATAAATATAAATAATATAAATATAAATAATATATAGTAATAGTGTTAGCCTTTTCATATACCTGGTATGTGAAAAAGATTTCAGGAAACTCTTAGTTTAACAGAATAAATCAGTGATTATATTTTCTCTGTATTTTAACATGTTGAAGTGTTCAAGAGTTTCTTCCGAGAGATAATTCAACAGTGCAACTTACATTTTAAATATTCTGGGGTCAACGAATCACTTTCCAACAGATGAGTAGACAGTATTTTATAAACCTCTGAATGCTCCCCCTCCGGGACAAAATTAAATATACTCTGATCCACAAGGTCAGACTAAAAGAGAGAGAGAAATGAAATGAAAATGTAATCTTGTGAAATGTCACTTTTGAATACAAAGTAACTAACACAGCTGTCAGGGAGAAAAATATTATGCTGCTTGTAACACATAATCCTGATTAAGTACATCATTTCCAAATATTTTCACAACAATAAAAAGCTGGATTGCCCTAATTTCAGATGCAGTGAACAAACGTTGCTACAATCCTATCCAAAGTATAAAAGACACTCCCCTGTCCTTTGAGACTCGAGGTACATTGCAGTAATGAAGTATATGTTTTAACCTAAGGAAGGAACCTTTGAATGAGGACTGAGCATTCTAAGCAGCCACGGGATATTGAGAATCTATTGCAAAAGGTGGAAAACTGGGGGGGGGGATACCCTACTTAAGCTTACTACAACTTACAGTATCTGGGAAAGGGGTGAAATTAGCTGGCAGAAACCCTGAAGAGAAGCAATCCTGTTAGAAAGTGAGGACACCCTGCAATATTCTGGTGCTGATCCTACTCGATTCTGTGTGCAATCCAGAGATGTCTTGTGTGGGCAGAAAAGCAGTTCTGTCTGTTTGCACAAGACATGAGCAGAGATCAGTTACGGATCCCACTTTAAATGAATGCCTTTACAATATATATATACAAACCTCTCATCAAATTCAAGCAGAAAACCAGCAATAGTAAAATCAGCAAAATTATCTGTTGCATTCCAACAGTTTGGACAAAAGGAAAAGTTTTACCATATGCACAGCAATTGTGGGTAAAAACCTCAATGTGCAGGATTGTTCAAGTCCCTTTCCTCCTTAGAGGAAACCAAGTCTGCAAATATTATAAACCAAATCTACTGTCTCAATTTCTTAGTGCAAGAATAAAAACAAAATGCTTATGCCCTTTGATAAGCGAGAAATAGGCTATATGGAAGGAAGATCATTCACAGGCATATGTGTGTTATTTTCATATACCACTTACATCAGGGGTCACTGAATGTGCACACTGTGGTACACTGTGATGGCTGTGTGTATATGAGCAGAGAAAAATGTATGATGCTCCTGATTCACCCACTGAAGTGCCTTATACATGAAACAGGACTAAGGCTGCTTTAATGGAAGAAAAGATGAAGTCTTTAAAAAGATATTATACTATTTGAGCTCCAGAACCTAGAATGGCAGATGGTAAAGTGTCCATCCAGTGACCAAATAAATCTGATATCTTCCTGTAAGCAGCTCATACTTACTGGCAAGTGTTCAAGTAAGGGGGTTACACTTTCTGATACATATATTATACTTCCATCTGTCATGATTGCTAAGAAAAAACCATCAAGAGCCTGAAATTAAACAGAAGAGACAGTTAAGAGACAGAAGAGACAATTTGATTAACATACAAAAAAGAGCCAGGACTAACTTCTTAATTGATCTTAAAATCTTAAACCTCACTGCACCAGCACCCTGAACAGTGGAACAGAACACTATCTGACAATCAATTCATGGGTCGCGCTCTCAAACCTGGGGAAATGCACATTATGCTAAGTACATTGTGATGTTGCTCCTCAGCCAAAAGGCTCACAATACTTAAAATACAAAAGAAAATGTTAAAATACCAACTGCAAATTTGATACAAATTGTTTCAAATCAATTCAACGCAAAACAGCAGGAGCACAAAACCAAGGCACTAAACTCATTGCTATAAAATGCCCAATGGACAACAATGGTCTTCACCGTCTTTCAGAAGGTGGGAAGAGAACAGGCTAAGCATGTCTCCCAGTGTGGTGTCAAAGTTTAAGTGCCACTGTAGAGAAGGCCTGGCTCCACATACCACCCAACATGACTACAGCTACAGATAATGGTGGGATGGAGAGCAAAGACCCTTCTAAGTTTCTAAACAGACAAGCAGTATTACATGGAAGTAGGTAGCCCTCAATTTACTTTGGGCCCAAACCATTGAGGAATTAAAGGTCAAAGGCATCCTCAAACTGGGTTTCAAAACAGAGGGTAAATTAAGTTTCAAAGGTACAGAATATTTTAAGTAACTGGTCCCCCAATAACCCCCTGGCAGCAGCATTCTCCACATGCATCTTTTGAATCTGTTTTGCACATATTTTAACTGAATATTGGGGAAAGTGCATTTTAATTACAATACAAAGCTGGAAATATACCGCACGGCATCACAAAGCAATACTTACAATGACAGAATACTCACACATTTTACAATGAAAATAATTAAGTTACCTCTAACATTAACTGAGTGAATTCTTCATTACTAAGGAATGTGGGTTTCCAGTCCTGTCGGATTTCACTGGCATCTGATTGGGCAGTGATCTCTGCAAAAGGAAAGGAAAATTATGCGCACACTTGTAATGCACACACCCAACTTTGGATGCCAACTTGAACAAAAGGGGGGGGGAATAGCGCCACAGGTTATTTTCCCCATCCCATTGGAAACTATCATTCATTAACCGCACCAGCCCAGTCATTAAACATGCCTGTTACAAAAACAAAGAAGATAGAGAGCAAGTGAGAGAATTGTATTCATTGCAACATTCTACCTTAATGTACATGCAGATAGGTAGGTAAAAAGGTTGATAAAAGAAGCATTTACTCCTCACCAGAACTGCATGATGGGGAGAGAAGAGCAGCCGCACACTACTAGTCGTGGTGCTGCATTCAACAGGACAGAGATAGGTCAGGGGAAAGCTAGGAGAGTTCTGGGTTGGCAGCAGCTCACATATGCACACACACCCTTACAGGGTTGTTGGCACCACCAATCCAGGGCTCCCTTCAACCTTGCCACCACCCTGTCCCAGCAAATATAGCACCAACACCACCGGGCAGACAGACTAAAACTAGCTGTGAATTAGGGTCCATTCCAACTCATATATACTTAAGTATCAAGAATTCAACAAAATTTGTTTCACAAATTTCTTGTGACATTCCCAAATTACCTTTGTGCTTCTGTAAGAAATCAATGCTCTTCTGCAGTACAGTAGATTTGTCCATCTTCCGAGCATTGCCCGGAAGCATGGATCCCAGTTCTTTGATGAGTACATTAAACTGATCTCTGCGTTTCTTTTCAGACTTGTTTCTTGACACCCTTAAAAAAAAAACATACACACACAATTATGAAAATTCCAGGGGGAAAGTTTTATGCAGTTTCTTAGGCGTTAAGAGGCTGTGTCCAATGCTACAGTTCTGTCAGCACAAGGGGCTTCCATCTGCATAACAGAATTTCCCTTTCCTCTCCCATCCCCTCCAGCTCCTGAATACCTGGAAGGTTGGGGGCAGGCAAGGGGAGAAGAGGGAATGGAAGCCCTGGAAGCAGTGGATACAACAGAATGTACTGTAAGTTACAATGGTCAATAAAATATGCTCATTTCAAATGTAAGGAGGAGGAAACATTGGCAAAACTAGTCATAGAAATACTTTCAGCACAATTCTAATCATGCCAACTCAGACGTTCTATTAAATTCAATGGAACTTACTCCCAAGTAAGCAAGGGTAGGACTGCAAGATTAGTATTCCATTTTGGAGCCCTATACATGCAAACATTAGTGATGTGTTTAAATATCTTTAAACATCTTTTGGGTGGAATCCAAATAACTACTTTTGGCAAAAACAAGTGCTTGAGCATGCCCAGTGGAATTTTTTAAAACTCCACCACTCTTCCTCCACTTTCAATAGTTATGCGGCTAAAAGAAAAGGCGGGGGGGGGGAGCCCCAAGTCCTTAGCCTGTGAAACAAGTTTTACTGTTGTTTGAATCTAAGCTTTTGTCTTAAGCATATTACAGTGGCTTTTCAAGAGGTCAGTTGCCAGTCAAGACACTTGGACTTATTTGGGTGCCTGATAAAATTAAAAGAAAAACTAAAAATTCAAAATTGAAGAGTCTTATATCTTTGCAGTACATAAATATGTTAATATTTTATTGCAATATTTTAATACTGTCTCCAAGCCAAAAAAAACCCAAGATCCCCATGCAGTGATCCTTGCACTCAGCAAGGGACTAATACGTGTTGCTATCTTCCCTTGAACAAACTTCAATTAATCCACTTGGTCACTTGTTAAGAGGGTGGGTGGGGAGTAAAGAGATGCTTTGAATCCGTCCTCCCTTCTCTTCCCCCTTCCCCAAGTATGTTATCAGCATTGTCAGATAAGACAGCTGACCACATGCCAGGCAATGTATGCAAGGACTAAGGGCACTGTGCATACTTTAGACCAGTGTTTCCCAACCGGTGTTCCGCGGCACACTAGTGTGCCGCGAGGCGTTGCCTGCTGTGCCGTGGGAGGGAGGCGGGCGAGTCGGGCGGCAAGAGGCTAGGAAGCAAATGGATTGCGAAGTCTGCCAGGTTCAGATTCGGGTCTCGGCTGTTTCCGGCAAGTGCAGATTCGGGTCTCGGCTGTTTTCGGCAAGTGCAGATTCCGGACTCGGCTGTTTCCGCCGGCCCAACTCGCCGATCCCGCGCCGTACGTAAGAATTCTCGAGGAAAGGCGCAGGCGCATTCCTCCTCGGAGAGAGCGGCCGTTGGCGTCCAAGATGGCGGCTGTGCTGGCTGAGGGGAGCGCGGGCGGCGCCGAGTCCGAGGCAGCGGCTGTTCCGCCCATGGCGGGGCTGGAGATGGTCCAGCAGGGAGCCGAAGCCCGGGTCTACCGGGGCCTCTTCCTAGGCCGGCCAACTGTGGCGAAGCACCGCTTCCCGAAACGTTACCGGCACCCGCTGTTGGAGGAGCGCCTGAGCCGCAGGCAGACGGCGCAGGAGGCCCGCTCGCTGCTTCGCTGCCGGTGGGCAGGTGGGCGCGCCTCGAGACTGGACTGCGCGGGGCAGGGGCGCGGGCTGGGATTCCATCTCCTTTAAATTGCATGGCCGGCCCACCTCTTTGCAAGGAGTGCGGTTGGGAATTGCAAGCAAAGCAGCCACGCAGCTCGATTCCAGTCGTTAGTGACCGAAACTAATCCCCCCCCCCCCCCGCTATAGGCAAGGAAGCTGAAGACTGGTTATGGAAGGCGGTGGGCTAAGCCACAGGTGTTCTGGTTTGCGAACATTTTTCAGAAGCCAAACGTGCTCCATTTTGCGTGCCATGCTTCTGTTTTGCGGTCTGTCTGCTTTTGCTGTTTATTTTGCATTTTTGTCTTTCTGACTTTTTTGTTTTGTTTTTGTGACTGATTGATTGACTGATTGTGTGACTGCAGTACATTGTTTATTGCTTTCATTTTATGGATCAATGGTCTTTATCGATAGTAAAATTCATGTTAAATTGCTGTTTTAGGGGTTGTTTTTAAATGTCTGGAATGGATTAATCCATTTTGCATTACTTTCAGCCAAACAGGCCCAGGTTGCACACTGAATAAAGTATTTTATAATTTTTCATATTTCTGTTTACTTACTATTTCATAATAAAGTAATTATAAAATACTATCTTTGTGTTTATTTGATTCCTATTAAAGAGAGTTACTTTATATATAGTCAATATAGGCACAGAGTTAATTTTTTAAACGTTTTCTAATGGTGGTGTGCCTCAAGATTTTTTTCATGAAACAAGTGTGCCTTTGCCCAAAAAAGGTTGGGAAACACTGCTTTAGACCACTGGATATAGGGCTTTTCACAGGCTTCCTATGTGCAATCTAGGTGCTGGTCCAGATGTAATACGAAACCAGAAGTGGCCCTCCAGATGTCATTGAACTACAGTTCTCATCACCAGTCATCATGAGCAATGCTGGCTGAGGCTGATGAGAGATTAAGTTCAATAACAGCTGGAAGGTCACAGGTTCTCTTTCCCTGTTCTAAACTATTTACTTAGTCAAGCCTCAGCAAGTCCAAACAAAGCATTAGTCTCACATGCTCTCCTATTCACTCCCCAATACTCTCTCCTGTGCAGCCAGGAGAATTTTACATTGAGTTTCAAAGAACCTTTGCATTCTATGCAAATCAGGGCTCCTGGCTCACAACGAGGGGAAACTCCATGGTTTGATGTTGGCTTTACCTAGGCTTGCCGAGGCTCATCTTTATAACACTGAACCATGGTTTAGCATTGTGTGCAAACTGCCCTATACGTAAAGTCCCATTTCAATGCACAGTTTATATACATCCTAACCAGAGGAAAAATGGTTGGTGCTAGCTACCTCAAAAAACATACCTCTTCGCTTTATCCTTGTCATCTTCTTCCACGAGACCATCAAAAATGCTACCATCATCTCTACAAGAAAAAAACAAGTCTCAGGGGGCAGCCACAATGTTAAGAACAGCCTTATATTGATAAGTATTTTCAGTCTGCAACATTACTAATTATATCGATCTTAAAAAAATTAGTATTTATAAGACTGGTTTCAATGTGAATTAAAATAAATTTTGTTTTCTACTGTACCCACAGATACAATTTAGGAAGAAATATTGAAACACCCTCATTGGATCTTTGCAATTCCGCATTACCATTAAATCAAGTCATTCATAGCAAACAGCTAATGAAGTCTGTTATGTTCTAAAGGAGGGGTAGATAATCTTTTTGGTCTAAGGCAGTGTTTCCCAACCGGTGTTCCGCGGCACACTAGTGTGCCGCCGGACGTTGCCTAGTGTGCCGTGGGAGGGAGGCGGGCGAGTTGGGCTAATCCTCCGGCCCCGCTCCCCCGGGGAACGTGCCCCGTCATCCGCTTCTGCCTTGCTCCCTGTGACAGGAATTCCCCAAACTGCATCAGCATCTGCCGCTTGCCCAGCAGCCCCGGCGCTGCCTTGCGCCCGGCGCCCCCGCCATCCTCGGCGCAGGGAGCGAGGGGCGCGCAGGCAGGCGCTGCCCGGCGGAGCGACGGCTCCTTCCGAGCGGCTGGCAGTGTCTGGGCATGACTGGCCTCCCGCCTGGTCCCGCGGCGGCTGCAGACGCGGCCGAAGCAGCGCAGGGAAGGAGACGCCCGGCCGCCCAGCCCAGCCCCGCACGCTCCCACTCTCTCTCGGCGGCCGGGGAGCGGGGCCAAAGCGGGCCCCCACCTGAGTGGCGGCTGCGTGAGCCAATAGGCGAGCTGGGGCAGAGGGGGAGGCGGGGCTCCGGAGAACAAAGGAGGGAGGGGGCACCCGGGAGAAGGGGGCGGGGCGGGAGGAGCGGGGAGCGCGGCGCTGCGCCCGGGACGCCCCAGTTCCGCCGGGTTAGAAGCCGGCGGCCTACCTCTGCTGGCCGTGGAAGGCAGCCGGGTCTGGGTTGCGCCCCGAGAGTGGCGGGGTCCGCGCACAGCCTGCCCTCCAGGCTGGGAAGTGGCTCCTAGGCTCCGCCTGAAGCCACGCAGAGCCCGCAAGGCGCCCTCGGCACAACTTGGCCGGGGCAAAAGGCGAAGCTCTGGAGGGAAAGGCGGCCGGATTCCCCTCCTCGGCGGGTCCGGTGGTCTCCCGCCTCCTCTGAGGAAGGGTCTCTTCTTCAGCTTTTCTGATCCTTCGTGGCCCCGTTGGGAGAAGCCGAAATAAATAATGGCCGTGCCATTAAAGTTCTCTCTTTTATAAAAGGGATCCTAATAGAATCGTAGAGTTGGAAGGGATCCCCAGGGCTATCCAGTACTGTACAACCCCTGCAGTGCAGGAATCTCAGCCATAGCATCCATGGCAGACAGACATCCCACCTCTGCTTAAAAACCTCCAAGAAGGGAAAAACCTCCCGAGGGAGACCATTCCCCTGTTGAACAGCCCTTACCAGCAGAAAGTTCTTTCCCATGTTTAGTCAAAATCTTTATTGTAACGTGAATCCACTGGTTCGAGTCCTACCTTCTCTACCTTCTATGCTGTTACTATTTTTTTATTTTTTTTTACATAAGTAAAAAGTGACCTTTCCCCATCTGGCATGGTGGTGTGCCTCGAGATTTTTTTCATGAAACAAGTGTGCCTTTGCCCAAAAAAGGTTGGGAAACACTGGTCTAAGGATCACAGTCATAACCACCACTCCAAGGGCTGCATGCCAACAGAGGCTGAGATCAATGTACATTTACATGCATGCACACACGTACTGCATACATCCAGACAAGCAGGCAGCCACACAGTCAGGCACATACAGGTAGGTGCTCTCAATCTCTTTCTCTCTCCCCGCCCCCCACACTTTTTCAACAACCAGTAGAGATGTAACTCCTCTCTACTGTGGTGGTGGTGCTGGGCGAGGAGGAAAGGAAAGCCTCACTGCCTCATCTCCTTACTTTTCAAAGGCACCTGTTTATCCACTGGTGCAGTGACATTGCTAGGAGGTCTTACTGCTCCTTCCTGCTTGCTGAGCATTTTCATGCAATCACTTGCTAGCAATGGGGTTGCACAAGAGGGAGAGGAGACACCTGGCGATTGGCAGTCCACCTAAAGCAGCTTGACAGCTGCAGGTTCACCTCTCCTGTTATAAAGAGATACTGTAACTTCAACGGCCTTCTTTGAAATTCTCTTTTAAACCATGTGCAACCATTACTAATGCACAAATAAAAAATAATTTGCAAAACTCAAATATAGCATACCTGTCTGCAATGGAGCTCATTTTATGGGTGCTTATGGTAAAGAACATAACATATCACACTTTAGTCTTGTGGTAGACATTTGTACGTCTGCACTGTAAGAGAATAGAAAAAGAAAGAAATGTAACGTCACTCTCTTATTTTTCCTGAATAAAATTCCCTACTGCCACGAAAAGGAACAATAGGCAGAATCCAAAGAACCATGCAACTAGTTCCATGTGCCCAAAAAGCTTTGGGATTGTGTCTCTTGAACATCAGCTCCCTGCCCCAACTCCACATGGCAAACCATATTTGAAACTGAGAGCACTGTCAAAAGCAAATTGTCATGTTGTCTGGCAGTATCAAAGCCCTTAAAATGACGAGCATAGTTCTTTGGATTGCTACCAATATATATGCCTGTGCTTTTTGGTTCTGTGGCCTAATTATCTGAATATAATCCAGTGGGTTTTTACCGTTTATACTTTTCTGGATGATAAATGGCAATGTTCTAAATGACAGGTTCCAGAAGGAGCAACTTGGGAAGAGCCTTCAAAATGTATTCTCCGCAGAAGATCATTAATATCTTAATTCAGTACTGTTAAAGAGAAAAAGAAAGATAACAGTATTAGGATTCTGCACCTAATTTATTTTTTTCATGTAATAAGTAGCCACTTTTTATTTTAAGTACAGGAACAGAAAAATATATATGTACACTGTAATAGCTTGATGTAAGAAAACAAACATCTGTGATAAGAGAAAAGTCATTGAGCAGCTACACTTTAATCTTCTCTGACCAGAGCTGTCAACTACATTAATTCCATTACTAGCCATATACAGTTCTATGATTCTATGTGAGTTACAAAGTAATTCTATATGTCTATTCTGAAGCAAACCCTATTAAATTCAAAGGGATTTACTCCCAGACAACCATGTAAAGTATTGCTTCCTTAATTCCAAATATGCTGAGCAGGTTTGCGGCAATTTCCCCTCCCCACCCAGAGAAGCTATTCAGAGACACAGCAGGGACAATGTACTGTAAATCTAATGATTGGTTGTGCAAGAACATTCTCCAATCTTACAATCTTTGGATTCCACCCATAGCTCTGGAGGTGTTGTATCATAATTGTTACTATTATTTTACTTATATCTGAATTCTTACTTCTTTATTCCACCAATCTTCCCAAATCTGTTTCTTTGTTTCTTCATACCAAAACTGCCTCCAACTGCTGGATAGTTTTATATTGCTACATCTATTTACAAAGCACAGATCTCTGCCAAGAAATTCCCTACAAAAATGATCAAAAGCTACAGTGGTGGAATATTTGCACATGTTAGACCAGGCTTCATCAAACTCGGCCCTCCAGATGTTTTTGGCCTACAACTCCCATGATCCCTAGCTAGCAGGACCAGTGGTCAGGGATGATGGGAATTGTAGTCTTAAAACATCTGGAGGGCCGAGTTTGTGGAAGCCTGTGTTAGACTATGTCTGCAGGAGCACAAATTCAGCATGCAGCTTAATACTGTAATGTATCATTAGTATTATATATGTTATACTTTCTATGAAAGTGCAATTCAATAATATTTAAATAAATAAATTTCAAAAAGTGTGTTCAAATAAATACCGTATTTTTTGCACCATAACACTCACTTTTTTCCTCCTAAAAAGTAAGGTGAAATGTCTGTGCAGGTTATGGAGGGAATGCCTACGGGTGGCATGCCTACGGATTTTCCTCCTCTAAAAACTACGTCCGTGTTATGGTCGGGTGCGTGTTATAGAGCGAAAAATACGGTAATTGCAATATGCTTTTCTTATGTCAGTTCTTACTGATATGCTATCCATGATTTAACTGTTCTTACTGTAGCATTGTCTTTATTTTGTATGCTGCTTTATATTATCTATGAAATTGCAGTTTATAAATATTTAAATAAAGAAATAAACTATTGGGTGCCTGCTGGTGTACTCATGGAATCGGTACAGTGCTTAACCAACATTTGTTAACTTCACACTGTCAATGACCGCAACCGCAATATTGGTATCTGCACAGCACAGGCCAGCTAGCAAAGGCTTATTTTGTTCCTGTTGCCTGAAAGAATGTAGACATGCCATATGCATCTTCTGTTCTAAACCCCAACATTACGTTAACACATTGGTTCTCCAGAATGGGCAGGATGCAAAAGAAAATCCCTCAGACATACAGACTAATACATTACTCAATACATTACTCCAGAGGTTTCAATGTTTTGCTGCTCTCAAAATGCAAAACAGTCCAAGATCTTGGGAACTGGGGAAAATATCTCTACATTCAATTCTCCTCCTCCATCCCACTCACTGTCTATTTCCAAGCAGGAAATACTGCCCTTGTTCTGGCCATTCCATTCTCTTCCCCTCTCAGCTGCAAGGAGTTCTGGAGAAGCTTCTTCAGTTGTAGAACTCCCTCCCTCCTAACTGATATTTTTAGATCATTTCCAAGAAAAAAATCATACTGAGAGAACATGGAACTTTCTTTTAGAAGATTAATATATCCTCTTGCCAGTAGAGCTACACAAACAATTATTACTTGTTTTTAAAAGTAACTAAAAAGAGCAAGAACTAAATACAAAGAAAAGCAATCTGCCAGAAGGAGTGGGGAGGAAAAGCAAAGTGAAGCATGACTCAGAGAACCTGCTTGTGTCTTTCTGGCCTAATAGCCTAGTGTCCTATTGACCTACTTTTCCTGTTAAGGTGGTTAAACCCTTATCTCCCATTTGAATAGTTTCCCCCCCCCCTCCTTTTGGGCAGAGTATCTACCAAAATGCGCAAAGAAGTCTTTTGAAATCTAGACTGCGGACGTTGTAACATGAAGCTTGTGTTTTTAAACTTTTGAGAATACGAATATTCTGCCAAACATTACACAAGTCCGGGGTGGGGGATAATAAATGACGCAAGTATTGCATCCAGTACTGGTAGTCTTTAAAACTGTGTTTCACTCTCACAATGCCTAGACTTTTTATTATTATGCCAGACACCCAAACAGCGATTCTAGGGGTTGTGCTAACCTAGTGGGAATTTTAAGTTTCCCTCCCCATTTTGAGCAGAAAGCTCCCTTTTAATTCTCCCCAGTTTCAAATGTGGTTTACCATTAGGCTTTAAGGGGGAGACATGGCTGCTGTTTGGGAAACAAATCCAAAACCATTCTGGGCACATGAAGCTATTTTCACAGTTCTTTGAATCCCGACCTATGCTTATAAGCAGGGACAGGGGGGAAGAGAACCTTTAAAAGCCGCTTAGAAAGACTTCTGAAATTTAAAGAAAACATGAATAGACTAGATGTTAAAGAAAAGAGACCATATGACTTATGCAGAGCAAAGTGAGCAGAGGAAAATTATGCTGCTGGTATAGGACAAAATACAGATATGTAAGTCAGATATTCTTCACTGCACAAACTAACCATCTTTGAGCAGCTTCCTGAGTTTTCTTAAGAAAATCATATTACAGATACATACAATACAGAAGAGGCTTATGCCATGTTTCTTATTAGGAATAGCTTTCTCTCTTCATCCCTCCCTCACCTCTTATGTGAAACTTATAAGATAGCTCATTGCTTGGTGATATTCAGATAATAAAGATATAATGATACTAAAATGTTTCACTAACCTTCTGGGATTCCATTGCAAACCTGTTTCTCCACACTTTTTCACAAATTCATATCAAACTTCCCCCCCCAACACCCCCTCCTTGAACAGGTACACATATAATATAGATAGTTCTTTCCATTTCTCAGTATAATAGATGAAATAAAGAATGAAATGAAATGATCTCTAGTGCAACCAAATTTTAATAATGAGGGAACTTTAAAGGATGGCATATATCCTGGGGAGGGGGCCTGTGCGTGCCAGGGAAATTCTCTGCAGGTACTTGTGCACCTGTAAACGCCATGTGCGTAGGGTAATACTTTTAAGGAGATATGGCCACTACATAACACCAGGCAAGACACAAAAAATTAGAGCAAGTTTTAGTTATCAAGCAAATGATAAAAGTAAAAACCATAATTTGGTTGGCCATCATGCACTATACAGTTTACCTCTTTATACCTGTGGGTTTCAGAACATTTTTTTTTATTTTTTTTTGGTGCTTGAGTCTTCAGAAATAAATTATGTTTTATGCACTCATTACTGCAAGGCAGGTAACCATCTTTGTGCTGTAGAATCACCCAGGAAATGGTGGCACATCATAATGTGCTGCCTCTTCCAGGAGCTTTTTACTCATATCTTATCAATGAGTGTAGCAAGCACCACACTTTCTAGCTGCTCTAAACAGCTGTAACTGGTTTTTTTAAAGAAAAAAAAGAGCCAAATAAATCTGCATGGCCATTCAAAGGAACAGACTTACTAGACTACTCGTGTTCAAGGGACATGAACTGGATTATGACTGTTCCATCCATCCCTACTCATCTAATGTTAAATTTTGCCCAATACTTTTACTTTAAGCATTTATACTATGCTTATAGCCACCTGTGACACATAAGAACCACTTCTAGACAACCAAAAGGGGGAGTTTTACAACCACTGACTTATTTTTTTCTGTTGACCTCAAAAACTGATACAAGAATGCATAGGGAGTAAAACCAGTATTTTTGTTTGTGAGTGCTAGTAACTTTAGAGCACTTGTTTGCAAATCTGGTTTGTTCGCATAGCTTGTATTGAGGTCACACATTAAACAGTTTAGATATTTATTTTTAAAACAATTTTTAAGTCATAGAAATAAAATACAAGGAGTCATTAGAGTATTTTTTGATGCTTATGAATACACTGACAACTTAAGCTAGAATGACTAGAGTAAACAAAACAAACAATAGTAGCCAATAATTTCAGTCTGATAGTCTACATAAAATGAGCAACTGAATAGCATTCTAATAGACCTGACAAAGTTGATTTAGCCAAGCTGAATGGCTCTAATAAAAGCTGACATAAGAACAGCGACCATTCAAAGATACCCACTGAAGAGAACTTAGCATTTTTTAAATGTAAAAATATAAAATACTCAAATATAGTTCATTGTAAATACCAGATGACAACTTACATAATCATAAAGCACCAAGTTGTTATTCCTTCTTGCTTATGTATTAGACCAGTCAGCTTGGTTATAACAGCTACCCTCAGCGTCTTCGTCCATTCTGATACCAAGAAAGACCCCTTAGATTTTTCAGTATATGGTGATAACTTTTGCTGCAAATAACAGATTTTTCAGGTAGCACCTTGAGTTTTGCCAGTATGTACTACTTTAAATATCATAGTAATATCATATATGGATTACATTTCCGTTTATGCCTAATAACCTAATAATGAAACAAACCATGCTTTCTTCCAAGGTCATACATAAGGTGACATTCCTGACCCCTATGAACAAAGTTGGCATCTAGCATCAACACCTCTAACAAGAACATAAAATTCTGTTGCATTTATGTGGGATCCATAAAGCACACAATGTGTCTCTCAAGTTCAAAAAGTACAAAGAAGTTCAAACAGACTGAAATATACAACCATTCTTTCTTTGTAGTCAAACCCCCCCTCTAACATTTTCGAATAGTATCCTCTCTTGGGGTTTCCTTTATAGTAAGACTTCTAGCGAAGACACTCTAGATTTTGCAAATTGCAAAACAGATCTTTATTAAGAAGCATACTCATTTTTTTAAAACAACAACGATCACACACACACACACACACAAAATTGAGTTAAAAACTGTCTTTCATATAGTGGAACTCCTATGCACCCTCACCTGGGAATAACCCTTACTGAACTTCTAAGTGAATGTACTGTGTTGCCAGTCTCTCAGTTAATAACAAACAATGGCCAGATTACAAAGAGCTCCTTTGGGCTCAGTGGGATTCTGATTTTTTATTTTGTTTTGAACTGCAAACCCTTATGCCATGTTATGAATTATTTTTGAAAAGTATTCCTCAGTGTCAAAACTCTATTTGCCATGCAGCTTGGGGAACTACTGCATAACACATATACCAGGCCACAGTGTCCCAAACTGTACAAAAATGTTGCAAAGTTCTTTGGCTCTGAGCCTCATGCTAAATGAAATCCAAATTAAACAGGATATCCTACGCAACCATAAAACAGATTGTTAATAAAATGCTTCCCCAGATGTGGAAATCCTGAAAGCCTTACAACTATGCTCTTAACACAGGTCCATTTTTAGAGGCGCAAGACATCAGTTGGATTCCCCTACTTGTTTGAGACTGAACACACAAGAGCAGCCCCAGAAAGCACTTCCATCAGATAAGCATGCAGTACCAGTGTCATTCCAGCTGGAAGATGTACTGCAGTGAGCTGAACATACATGCATTCAACTTGTGTGCATTCAGCTTTACATGCACAGCAAAAAATTAAAAGAGGGTGAAGTTTCAGAGGAAATGACTTTGGGAATCCCATCCACCACTGAACCCAATGTGTTTTGATTGTACATGATTTTGGATTTAGGTGCAATCCCCAGAACATAACCCCTACATAAGTTGTGGGCTTACTGCTTACTGATGGAGCAGGCTAGAGTCTTTAACATGAAAAGTGAGGGTGGGACTAGCAACAGGGATGCAGCTGCTATTTCTACATAGGGTCAAATTTCAGATTGACATTTGCTGAAGCAATACAGCTCTGCTCTATAGCACAGTTTATGCCTTGCCTTGCACCAGACCTATCATTAACAACACAGTACAGAAGGTTACCTCATTATCCTCTGGTTGGTGAGAAAGCTGGATGTGAACCAGCTGCCATGCCACCCATGTGAACCAGGCCAATGTCTGATCTACAGAATTATTGGAGATGTAATGAAACAATGTATAACTTTTTAAACTAAATATATATTTCTTAAAATCTACAACAAAATTATTTTCTATAACATAATATAACAAATATCCTTATAATGTAACTGATACCTTGCCAAGAATATGAATAAAGTAGTACTCCAGTTCTTCAAAACTAGCAATGTTTAAAAACTTTTACTTTAATTTCAAATTGAATTTGTAATTTGTTTTGTGAGCACTTTAGATTTATTATATTATTCAACAACCCGCTACAGAAAAATGTAGAATGGGACAAACTGGTAGCTACAGGAATGCTACAATGATCTTCTACATGTTCCCACTACCCGCCATTCTAAAGTAAGCAAAATAATAGCATTAGTGGGATTGGCATAGATGTAATACACCACATTCATGTTTAAAAATATCTTATTTTGTTGCCCTAAGATTCAAATGCTCTCTAATGAATGTTTGCATCTTGTTAATTTTTCCTTACTACTTACTAGTAGTTAATTTTTAAAGATAGCATTTATTAAACATTTGAATACTAACAAATAAGCAAAGTGACAAACTTAAAAATTTCATGCTCCTTGGAGAAAATGGAGACGATAAAACTAATTATAAATTAATGAACTATGGTAACCTGAAAGATTACTTTTACTATATTTGACAACAGTAACAAAGTTAGTGGAAAAACCAGGTCCCCCCCCCCCTTGTTTCAAACAGTCCCTGAAAAGGCTTATTTGCACCAGCAATAGGTAAAGGTAAAGGGACCCCTGACCATTAGGTCCAGTCGTGACCGACTCTGGGGTTGCGGCGCTCATCTCGCTTTATTGGCCAAGGGAGCCACCGTACAGCTTCCGGGTCATGTGGCCAGCATGACTAGGCCACTTCTGGCGAACCAGAGCAGCACATGGAAACGCCGTTTACCTTCCCACCGAAGCAGTACCTATTTATCTACTTGCACTTTGACGTGCTTTCGAACTGCTAGGTTGGCAGGAGCAGGGACCGAGCAATGGGAGCTCATCCCATCGCGGGGATTCAAACCGCCAACCTTCTGATCAGCAAGTCCTAGGCTCTGTGGTTTAACCCACAGCGCCACCCGCATCCCTGGTATCAAATATACCGAAATAACTGGTATCAAAAATACCGAAATAACTGGTATCAAAACTTCATTCCCACAATTCTACAGAGCATGATGCAGGTCTGAATATGCAGTGCTAAAGATTGCCAGTTATCTGACTGGAGTCTTTTGCATGTGCTTTGCACTACAGCTCCTTTACATAGGGTTATATCTAGTGTTAGCCCTACTCAGAATACATCCACAGAAATGAATGAACATGTCTAACATAGCCCCAGTAATTTTTATAGGTCTACTCTGAATAGTACTTGGTTAGATACAATCTACTCAAACTTATGACACTTCAGTGGGATATACTCTCAACTTCCACAGCTTTAACAGCTTACGGATGAAGAATTTACAGCTTTTCCAAGTGCTACAGTCCTGCAGGAGCTAAACTTTATTTCTATATAGTTGCTAATGAAACAGCAAATATATTCAGAAGCTAGCCCTCTAAGGTGAGAAACGCAAAACCTAGTGGTATTATTAACTGAACTAGACTGAAAATAAACAATGGTTCTTGATCATCAAAGTTAGAAATCATTAGAGCTCCTCATATTGCAATACTGGCTTAATCATCATGAAATGAAATTGTTGATATCTAGTTCTGGGTCTTGGCCTGTCATGTCTTTTATTGCTTAGCCAAAAGACATCACCAAATCAAACGATAAAAAGTACACCACTCAAAATATAATTTTTTTAAATGAACAGCACAATCAATTGTAGTATCTGATCCATTGGAATATCAGACATCTTTCACTACAACAAGGACCTGCAATGTTCACTAAAAAAAACCTACTCATTTACAATTCAACTTTTAACAACAGAGTCACAATCTTATTCTCTCACACATTTTTGACAAATGCTGCATTAATAAGCATTTTTAGAAATACAGCATTCTATTAATCACTTGTATAAGAAAAAGTGCCTATAAGGCTTTATGTGAAACATCACAGCTCTCAAGCATTTGGTCCACCACTGTGCAGAGAGAAAGGAATTCCATGGAACTCAGCAACATTCCTGTCTCACCCACAGATATTCATGAAAGGCTTCCATCAAGGCAGAAGTGATGTCTCTCTCACCTCAGCAGGGAATCTGTGGTGGCTAAATGTGATCTGGAACTGTTCAGTGCTGAATACAAGACCAGCAAGTTTCTAGAATATTCTTTAGAGTCCAAAAAAAGTCATGCTGTGACAACTATAATAGTCAGGAATGAGGAACCTTTTTCAGCCCAAGGCCACATTCCCTCATGTTCAACCTCATGTCAGTGTTGGGCAGGAAAAGAGGCAATAATAATAATAATAATAATAATAGGTGGAGTTTGTGGCAAAAGCAGACAGAGCAATAGCTATGACTCTTACATTTGTACCAAAGGCTGCATTTCAACTATGTACGAGTTGGAGATTTGTACAGTACGCACACATCTCTTCAACCTCGATACAGGCAAGTGGGAGGCATTATCACAGTCTAATAACACACTGTAACAGGGCAGAAACATGCAAGGACTGAGGTGGTGTGGCCTTGGAAGAGTCCTGAGAACGTGATAGTGATGGATGGCAGCATTTGATCCTTGGACCTAACTTCTAAGACACATGTCACAGTGAAGAGCAAACTGGAAGAGCAAACTGGCAATCTGCCAGTTATCTAACAACTATTTATCTTATTTATGTATTCATTCATTCATAAGATTTCTTATCCAAACTTCATCATAAGGTCTCAGAACAGATTCCAACAATATAATGTTTGTATTATTTTTGTTAATGGTGCTACTTGGCTGCCTTCGAACAGATCAAAAATCTCTTAAAACAAATCTATAAAACAAAATAGGAGAGATGATCTTGGTTTGATAACTTGGTTTGGAGGGACATCTGGAAATTTTCCCAAATTGGACATCGTATGAAAGTGTGGCTTAAGAAAACAGGAACTTCACACAATTCTGCTTTGATTGAAACAGCTTTATTGTTTTACTTGTTTTTAACATTGTAATTGTTTTGCAATTTCACCTTGTTGTTTTCCAAGTCAGAATTTCTGTGTCACTTTTAACATCTTTATTCTCCTTCACATCCCTCCTGAAAGTTGAGACTTACTACTTTACTACTGTTCATTTCAAACTTTTAAACACTTAACAAGTTAATAATGATTTGTTCAGTTGCTTTAATGTTCCTCGTAGCAGGGAAATGTAGGCAAAATTAGGCAAAGAAACTTACACACTTGCCCAGCGCAAGTATAACACCTCTAAGGCTAACAGTATAAAAATATTGATAGCCCTTATATTCTAGATAAAGTGTTAGGTCTTTATAATACTGAAAGGTCTGGCACTCAGTATGTTTTTATTGTGCTTTAAAGATAAAAAAACTTAAAACGCCTTCAAAGTCGTACTAAGAATGACCTTTTAAGAAAATATTTAACTGAGGCTAAATGTCTGAAACACAGTTTACAATAAGGGATCTAACTGCAATGTTAACCACAGAGATGTCACTAGTATGACAATTATTTGCACATACAGTAATATTTGAGATAAGGACCAGGCCTAATTATCCAAATTGATGAAATTGGAGGAAATAATTCTTAAAATCTACTTTCATAGTTTTAATAGGCTCTCCCAGAACGACTTGTTCTGTTTAGGGAAGCTTTTAATGTTTGATGTATTACAGTATTTTAATATTATTATTAGTTTTCAACTGATTTTTTTAAATTGCAATCAAATGGCAATATAATAAATCAATTATGTTTTAGGACCCTGCATATGTCTTTACCCAATTGCAAACCTATGTTTCTCATGCGTATGTTATATTTCCATATGAAATGGGCTATATCAAACATTTCTGTCCTTTAGAAATGGGGAATCCCACTGTTACATTTTGTTAATATTAATAATAATAGAAACAGGAAGTGGCAAATTTCCTATAATTAAGTAGATTTGATCAGAGACTAAAAGGACTGTATGTACTATACGAATGGGAAATGACATAAGCACAATGGATAACAAATGAAGAACTGAAACTACTTCTAGACCCACAGAAATAACAACGCAAATCCATATTTTGTTCCTTACATTTCAAAACATGAAAAGTGAGGCCACGTCACTAATCCTCATCTCACCAGCATGCATTTAATACAAATCTTTAAAGATCTGGGGGGTGGGGGTGTCCTGAAACTAACCACCTCAGTTCAGAAATCATCAAGATATTACAAGTTCTGTCCTACTCACCTTCATTTGGTTAGATCTTTCTTTTAAAAATTCAAACTATTTCCTGGAAAAGCCCTACAAACGTCTAACCCATTCAAGATTGAGATAGGTAGGATATACCGTCACTGGTATTGACTGATTTGCCTCCATCAAACTATTCTATTTCAGGCAATAAGTAGTATCAAAAGAATGCTTATTTCCATTACAGAAGATTTTATGTTTCATAATTGAGGCAATCCTAACCCCGATGATTTAGATGTAAACCTCACTGAATCCAATAGGATTTACTGCTAGGTAGTTTAGGACAGTGTTTCCCAACCGGTGTTCCGCGGAACACTAGTGTGCCGCGAGATGTTGCCTGGTGTGCCGCGAGCGAGTCCAAAAAAGGTTGGGAAACACTGGTTTCTCTTTCAAAAAGGAAACGTGGGTTAAAGCGGCGCCGCCGCCTCCCACTCACTTTCCTGCTCTGGCTTCCCTAACAGTTTTCCGAGTTGCGTCACTGGATCCAGCCCCCTTTTCCACATGTGACACGGGGCTGGAGGGAGGGAAAGAGGGCTTTACGTCGCGCACAAAGGCAGCCTCCTAGAAGCGCTCTGGGCCGGCGCCGTTTCGCCGAAGGCGCCGGAGGACCCCCACCCTCAGCTCCTTCAGAAAGGAAGCCCCGCCCCTCGGCTCCCTACGCCGCCAGGCAGCTCAGCTGACTGACGAGGACGTTCTGCGGCGGCGGCCGCCGCACAACCACCGCAGTTGCTGGCAGCGTCCGCAGCGCAATAAGTAACAGCGCCTGGTGCTGCCAACTCTTTCTCTCTCTCTCCCGCCCCCAAGCTCTCGCGCGCCCCGCGTCAACATCGCCGCACGCAGCTTCCCGAGCTCGAGGCCAGCCGCTGCACGCACGCGCCGGCTCGTCATCGGCTCCGGTTGTTGCCTTTCTCCGCCGAGGTCGGTGGACCCCGAGCCTAGGCTTCCTTCCCGCACCCCGCTTTCCGAAGACCGCACACCAGTTGGGCCAGTACATATTCCCCTCCCGTGACTGGAGCGGAATAGCCCTTTCTCTTCTTCCCCAACCCTTGTCGCTGGAGGAGTCCCTCAGTCCCTCGCTTTGCTGCCTCCTCCCCCCCCACCCCCAAAGCTTGGAGGTTCCCCGGCAAGGGGGAGGGAAAAAAATTGAAAGTTACACTTTTGTGCGTCCCTCCCGGCGTGACGCTGCACGCTGACGTCACGGGGCTGTAATGGTGGTGTGCCTCGAGATTTTTTTCATCAAACAAGTGTGCCTTTGCCCAAAAAAGGTTGGGAAACACTGGTTTAGGATTGCCTAACTGCCAACCTAGCAGTTTGAAAGCACATCAAAGTGCAAGTAGATAAATAGGTACCGCTCCGACGGGAAGGTAAACGGTGTTTCCGTGCGCTGCTCTGGTTCACCAGAAGCAGCTTAGTCATGCTGGCCACATGACCCGGAAGCTGTACGCCGGCTCCCTCGGCCAATAAAGCGAGATGAGTGCCGCAACCCCACAGTCAGCCACTCTGGACCTAATGGTCAGGGGTCCCTTTACCTTTACCTAGTTTAGGACTGCAGTCATATAAACTTATTTTGGTTATATAGATCTGTGTTTTTTTGGACAGCTGATTAAAAAAATCAGAAAACAGAAAAACCCTCTGTTAACAGCAGTCTAGAATAAAGTACATGCATCCCTGTGGCTTTTATTTAAATACAAAGCTGTCACAGGCCAGTGATAATGCATTTTGTGCATAAATGATCCAAGTGTTCACTGAGGTTCTGCTATGCCTGCAATCCTCCTGCCTACTTTGTCAATCTGCACTGCACTATCATTTTATCAAGCTTTGATGTGGGCATGCACCAAACAGGGAAGAAGAGAAAGCAGGTTGTGCTTCTTATCACAACACAGCCTAGGCACCAGCCCTTCTGGCTTCCTCCACTGAAGGCAATGCTGAACAGGAAGGTATTCCTTCCAGACCAAGTATGAAAAGGTAAAAGAGATAACTGCAGTCCTATATGCAACATGTCTATATTTTAAAGGTTTCTCTGTAACTCTTTAAGTCTGTAAGAAAGTCAGATGAGCAACCTGTATATATACTGTATATATACAGTACAGAGCTGTATAAATAGGTGAATGGACAACTCTATCCCATTCACCTAGAGGTAACAATCGAAGTCTATTTGCAATTTTGCAGTTATCATTGCAAGTCTGATTTAATGTGTAAGGAAGGATTGTACAACTATAACTTTTTAGCTAGTAACATAACGTTGTGAACCGCCCTGAAATCTCCAAGTATAGGGTGGTATACACAATCAATCAATCAATCAATCAATCAATGTTACTGTATTATTATTTATTTGGGAATGGTTACAAAGTTGGCATGCCACTTCAGCATCATACCACAAAGTAAGACATCATTCTGGTGTTTCAATTCTTTTAACAACAACATTCCAGGAGAACATGGCGGCAAGAACATGAGTGGTTAACAAAGTTGGCATGCCACTTCAGCATCATACCACAAAGTAAGACATCATTCTGGTGTTTCAATTCTGTTTAACAACAACATTCCAGAAGAACATGGTGGCAAGGAAACAGACCATACAATTTTTTATTTGTGTGAATCCCTTCTTTTTTATGAAGATAGCTAAACTATTCTTGTCTTAAATGATAGGATACTGAAACAGCCTTTGGCAGGTAATGGAACACTGGTTTAACATTGCTGAAACTAGTGTGTAGACATGATCTGTACCTATACAGAAGGCTTATGGGAAGTACATGAGCTTTCTGATATAAAAATGGGGCATAGGTATAATAAACACAAGCACTGTGTTCTATAAAGCAGCAATGTGGGCAATTTATGGTCTATAAAAAGTGTTGCCAACCCAAGAAACTGTGCAGCAAAGGCCATTTGAGCTGAGAGTGTGACAATCAACTTTCACTCACTCTAGATTGAATGGTCAACTTGAAGGTTTATTTAAGCTGCAATCTATTCTTCCTAAGTAGATACTAGAGAACTATTTATTCCAGCACATCTACTCCACTCAAAGAATCAAAGTTACAAAAAAATAAATAAATAACCCATTATGTGCACACAGAAAGCAAGTAGGATTACTTATACAATGCCATGTATGGAGTTATGCACATTGCTACAATCTAACAATGTGTCCTGTCACTTATGGTGTCCTTCACTCAAGGAGTGCTACAAGTGCTACCAACCAGAACAAAACCTTGTCTGCAAGCAAGCGCACAATACATCGGCACCATCATCAGCATGGTTACTTGGAAATCTTGCAGAGTTAAACAAGATTTACCAGCGGTATGCTTAGGCTTGCAGCCTTTCTTTCATGTTACTTAACAAAAAGAAGCGCATTAAGAAATCATTACGTGCTGACTTTCCACTTTCTGCTACATTAGATCTTTTTGAAGTATAATATTTTAGTAGAAACTGAGCTAAGAAACCAACGACACCAAAAAGTCAGATTGCATTCCTGACTACCAAATGAAACCAGCTGACACCTTTGAAGCGGGCTTGACACATCAACATTCTCCCCTTTGCTCTAAAGAAAGGGGCAGGGTCCTGATCTCGGCAAAATAAACGAAAGTACGTGGACGCTCCAGCTTGATCTAATGCCCTAGATTCGCTCCTAAGCAAGCGGCTCCAGAGAGGCGAGGAAACCCCTCCCCGCCTGCATCATCAGTATTCAAATAAGGTTCAGGGCCGCTGTAGGAGGAAAAGAGAAAAAGGAAAATGCCTCTTCGCGCTCCGGGTTCGCAGGGCGGGGAAGGGCAGCTTTCTGACAGGACCAAAACGGCGCCGCTTGTATAAGGGATACCCCAAACCGGTGCCCCTCCTGGAGCGCCCTTCATAAACCGGAGACGCCGGGCGCAACCTGGAGAGCGGGATGGGCGCAGCCAAGGCCCCTCACAGCCCCCTCCCGCCTCGGTTATGAAACACCGGAGCTGCCCCGTCTCCGCCTCGCCACGGTGCCCGAGTTCGGGGGTGGGGGTCGGAGGAAGATAGAGGCAGCGGCCCCTCAAGCTGTTCCCCAATTCCCGGCCAGCCCCTGAGGGCCTGAATCGTCCCCGGCAGCGGGTCACGCGAAGCCCTCAACTGTCGGCGGGGTCGGGAGACGGGGGGGCAGAGACACTGAGATCATAGACCTGCGCCAGCGACCCAACCCGCCGTCGCGCCCGCCGCCTGTCAAAGTTTACCTCAGCCCACTCGCCAGCAGGACTCCGCGAGGCCCCCTCAAGGCCGGCGGCTGCGGCTCGCTGGCGTATCCTCCTTACCGAGCTTCCCCGCCAGCCTGCCGCCTCCCTTCGCGCTCCTCTTCTTCTTCAGCCCACCGCCGCGACACGGATCGCTCGCCCCCGCTTCTCAAGTAAGCAGCCACAACCCGCCAGGCCCTAAGGTCTCCCTCCGCCACCGCGCATGCGCCGCCCTCGCGCTTACCGGCAAAACAAGCCGCGGAATCAGCCGCGGAGCCCGGAGGAGCCTTCCCCGTACTGCGCGTGCGCCGGTGGTAAGGGACACCAAGCAAGCTGCAGCAGTATATCGGCTTGCCAAGAGCCTGAGCCGGCCCAGGCCCCTGTGCTTCCCTGGTCAGTACTAAGCATGCGCATTACTACCGCGCGCATAGATGGGGAGTCGACGGTGATTCCCCTTCTTCGTCAGGGAGCGGGCCGCGGCTTCGCCGCGCATGCGCCACGGAAACCTTCGGGAGGTGGAGGGGGGGAGAGGAAAGGGATGTGTTGCGCATGCGTCTGAAGAGGACAGGGCGTTCTCGCTGTGCTTCCGTGACCTCAGATTACCTTGTAGGAGGGGAGCAGCGAGGGAGGATTTGGGACTGTGGGCGGGATTGGAGGAGGGTCCTCTGCCTCCTCCCAAAGTGGAAGCTTCTTACGTCGTTGCTGCCGCAGAGACGGCGCTGAGGGATGGGGACTTGGGGGCTTCCGTCACCTTATTTTACTGAAGGGGCCACGTAAAAGCTCCCCCTTAACCTGCAGTGTGGAAGCAGCATGGGCGCAAGTCCCTTTGCAAGTCAGTCCGGCCTCCTCCTGAGTAAACTCCTGCTCTTCTGCAAGTTCCATGTTTACAGCAGTCAGAAGCTCTTTGAACTACGTACCGGTATATGTTGCCCAGTGTCGTTATTTTAAAAACAAAAAACAAAAGCAAGCACCACAGCTCCGCCGAGGACCCAAGCAGATTTAAAAGTTCAGTGTTTCAGAAGCTGACGCAAAGAATGAGGGTTTTTCAAAATAAAAAATTCAGGTGAGGCAAAAAGGTCAATCAATACAAGACTGCCTTGAGTTTTTGGACAAAGAGGAAGATGGCATTTCAATGGATTCAAGTTACAAAAAAGGAGATTCCAGCTAAACATCTGGAAGGACTTTCAGACAGTAATCTGTTCCACCGTGGAACTGACACCCAAGGGAGGTGGTGGACTTTCCTTCCTTGGAGGTTTTTAAGCAGAGGTTGGATGGCCACCTGTCATGGATGCTTTAGTTGAGATTCCTGCATTTGCCGGGGACTGGACTAGATGACCCTTGGAGTCCCTTCCAGCTCTACAATTCTATGATTCTTGGAGATGTCTCAACACAATCCACTGCTCAGATGTAAAGCCTGGTTCTGAAAGGTTCCATTACAGACGGTAAGGGGACTATCTGTCCCTCTGAACATTAGACTTCCAACTCTCATCAACATCTGGGAGCAGCAGGGATGACAGGAGCTGTAATAGCTGTCAGAAATTGGTAGGCAGAGTAATCTGGCAGAAATGCAGTGAGCATGACTGAAAACTTTTCTTGTTGCACTTCTTCCTGGTCCAACCATTTAGGGTGAAAGAGCCTTGCTAAGGAAATGTAGCAGCAAAAATACATGCAGGCATGCTGAATTCTAAAAGTATACTAATATGCATAACACTATACAGCTACATTACATGTGCCAGTATTTTACATGCTGTAACAAACAGAAACCATGCTAGCATACCACTCTTCCTCCATACCCACCATCCCCTTATTAGATATAGTATTTGTATAGAGGCCAGTACATGCAAGTTTGACTATCCTGCAATCTGTACACTGCAAAGTTGGGATCTTCAGAGTGTACATCGGGGCAGCCCAACATTTCATACCAAGTGGGCTGCAATAATACTTTGACACATAACCCGCAAGCCACACACTGCCTTGTCATGCAGGGGAAGCGAGGCCAAAATTTGATGTCCCAGCTCTCACGCTGTCTTCCCAAAGTTTGAAAACGGCTACCTAGGCTTTGGGAAGGAGGAGGGAAGACTCGAAGCCTCCTTCCCTAATCCCAGCACCTCATTTACCCAGCTTTGGGAATACAGGGCAGGGGGGGGCGTCAAATGTTGCTGAGGGCCACCAAAAAGGCCTTGTGGGCCACATGTTGGACCACCCTGGTGTGGATGCATTAGATCTACAGGTATACGTTATTCTCCTCTGCAAATGTAACATCCAACATCTACCACTGAGTTTCCTGGAAGAGCAGGAACGGTGCAGTCACAACACCCTCGCAGTGCATAAGGGGAGGGGGAGGCAATGTAGTGTTGCCCAATTGTTTTGGATTACAATTCCCATCATCCCTAGCTATTGGCTGTGGTGGCTGGGGCTGATGAAAGTTGAAATACCCAACATCTGGAGGGCAACACATTGGCTATCCCTGGTTTAGAGCTTATGGTTAAGCTACAAGCATGGTTAATATTGAAATCTAATGCAATTCATGTCTATTACTGTGGTTGCCATGGTTCACTACTGAACTTGAACGCCATGTATTCACAATAAGTTCTTTAAAGTAATTATGAAACAGCTTTAGATCCCCTCTATATTTTTATTATGAATGATGATTGAAATGCTGTTCCTTTGACTCTACACACAACAGATGGCACTGCTCTAGAATTTTGTTTTTTAATTGAAATTTCCTTCCCTTTATGTGAAAGATCAGCAGAGAAATAAAGCACAGTTGACATACCTTGTTCAAGCATTAGGTCTTGTAAATATATTACTGGTAACAATTTAGCCCTTGTAGAATGTGTTAATACTACTGTACACATGACTTGAGGTAATTAATGCCCAGGGTATGCCATTTATCTTATCTATATAAGTTTTGTAATGGAGGTTGCCAAGCAACTTACGAGGTGAGCCTTAAAACAGTTTTAGTTTCACATAGAATTGGTTGGATATGTAAGCTGTATAAACAAACGCCAAGAAAGAGCATGTCCTTTTGTAGAAAAGCTTTGCCGTTAAAGGTTTACAAAAAGTAGTGTAAAGACCAACATATACATAACTACTGCAGCTTTTTAATTAAACCAGAAGGTTAAATCTGGGATGGGAAGAAATTGATTTCAACTCAAGTAAGAATTCAGTAAGGTAAAGGGACCCCTGACCATTAGGTCCAGTCGTGGCCGACTCTGGGGTTGTGGCGCTCATCTTGCTTTATTGGCCGAGGGAGCCGGCATACAGCTTCTGGGTCATGTAAGCCAACATGACTAAGCTGCTTCTGGTGAACCAGAGCAGCGCACGGAAACACCATTTACCTTCCCGCTGTAGTGGTACCTATTTATCTACTTGCACTTTGATGTGCTCACCCCATCGCGGGGATTCGAACCGCCGACCTTCTGATCGGCAAGCCCTAGGCTCAGTGGTTTAACCCACAGCGCCACCTGCATCCCTCAAAGATGTAGGGTAGCAATGGGCTAAAATATGCATAGAATTAAAACACCATGTTAAGTACTTTGCTTATCTATGGGAAGTGACTTTATCCCACATAAGGATACCCACAGATTCCTTTATAGACCCAAAGCTGCAGCAGACAGGTACAGTGAGAATTCCATATGTAACTTAATAATTGTTTTAACTGGCCTGTTTATTTATTGTTGCCTTTATTATTTTTGGTTCTATTAGTTCCTTTTTATGATATGGTGAGCCTCCTTGTGTAGGCTATATCCAAAATGGTGGAATAGGAATAATTTTATAAACAATTGTTGGACAAAGGGAAATATGGAATTTCAAAAGGCAATATTAACTGGGTTATTCTGCAGTTGCAATTAGGGGGTGTGTTCACTGTTCTGGGAGCTGCTTGAGAAAACATTTCATTTTGATTTCACGAGGGAAGCAAAGTATTGAATAATAGTATTGTTAGTTCTTATCACCTGCTGAGACAAAGCCTTAATATGTGTAAATACAATTTGCACAAGGGGAAAAGAACTGGTGGTTGTACTTGATCTAGGGACACATTTTCAAATTTATCCAGGGGAAGAAAGCCATATCAAGGCCATTTAATCTTGACAAACCCTCATATTTTAAATATACTAATAACTCCACGTGTTGTGCAATAGAAAGGCCAGATGCAAAGGACACATATGACTGGAAGCCAAGAGCACACAGAAGAAGATAGAATACCATAATATTCTCAACGGACTGCCTCGGGGGGGGGGGGAATCATGCTTTTTAATGACAAACTTTTCTCCTTCACAGTGTAATCATACTCCTGCTGGGAATAGGCCCTGTTGAATTAAATAGGACTTACTTTTGGATAGGCGTGTACAAGATTGTTTTGCTACTTTCATTATTGTATAGAGTAGCACAAATACATTGAATTAAATAAACTGTTGGTATGCTCCAAGATGTTTTCCAGAAAAAGTTGCCGTTTATTAATATTATTATATTTATTATCTGCTCTTCACCAGCAGGTCCCAGGGCAGGTTACAACCATTTTAAATTCAATATTAAAAATTCTGAAAACAAGCTACAGTCTCAGGAATAGAGTGGTTCCTGATAACACAGATCTCAGATGTCAAAGGCCAGGGTAAAGCAGTGTGCTACCAGCACTGTATGCTCAATGCTGTGGGAGGGAATCCCACAACGTAGGGGCTGCCACAGAGAATGGCATCTCCCAGGCCATCATGCAGTCACCTTGAATTCCCGAGGGCAGCAGAACTATCTAACCCTACAGCTCTTCACACCTGAGAGGGTCTGTAGGGCTTTAGCTCTTGTGGAAATGAGTGCATTCTTCATGCAATATTACTTTGCCAAGAAGATGCAGGGTTTTGGACAAATAGAGTGGGACAGGGACCCTCAAACAGAGTTCCTGTAGGTGCAAATTGCTAGTCAGCAATGTAAACTGTTGAATAGTGGGTAGACATGGCAGACGACACGGCGATTTCTCCAAAGCAGCTCTTTATTTTGTAAGCTGGAACAGAAACTGAACAGCAAACAGCTCAGCCGGCCTGCTTTTATAGGCAGCCAGCTGTCAACATTGTAGCAACAACAACCCAGGGTTTCCCGCCTAAAATAACTGACGTGGACCTGAGTGAAAACTATCTACAGTATCCCCCTGCTGGCCCAGGGTGAGAACTTCAGTACATAA